TCTACTTCTTTCTATGAGTGTTGATCAATACGTTGTCTGTTGGTTTATTATATATAATATTTCTATGGCCTGAAGGTTACCCCTCTGTTTATTTATGTGACATATGTGGAACCGACCATTCAAATCTCTTTCTTAAACATTTGTTGTATTCTAGACACAGTGTTATAATCTCTTATATGTTTATAATTGTTACTGTGTTTGTTATTCGACCTATGCTGGGTTAATAGAAATGTTTGTAACCTGTGGTGCCATTTCAGTGGTTTGAGATGAACTCTGTATTCCTTGGTTGTAAATTTCAAACTGTACAATAGACATGGCCAATGAAGACGTCTTTATTGGGGTGCCTAATTAGTCATGTTCTTAGTACATGTGTTTCCATAGCAAGTCTCAGACATCATTTGGATGTGATAGGTTCCATTCCCAAAACGGTAACAGTAGCTTTAAAATTTTATATTGTCTGGTGTGTCGTTCTGTCTTTCTACTTCTTTCTATGAGTGTTGATCAGTTCATTGTCTGTCTGTTTATTATATAAGTATACGTAATAATTCTTAATGAAGGTTGGTTACAGTAGAGCCACCTCTGTCTCTCACCATGGCTTTACACTGTCAGACTGCTGTTTGTTAATTTCTTGATTTTATGCGCATTTCCAACGCAGGATACTATGTTTTTTTCATGGGAGCGGCATGTATTGTGGTTGTGATATGTTGGGATGGAAAAGTGACCGATAGATAGATTTTGCAGCCTCAACCACACTGCCTTTGCAATGTTTTGATCGTGGCGGCCCAGTCAGGAAAAACATAATCTCGTCAGCAGGGGACTGTCACTGTCTAGAGATAAAAACTGTCCCCAGAAACAGAATGTGTCAACCATTTTGTGTGTGGAGAGGAATTGACACATATGGTTAACACAAAGGCCATGCCATCCTCCCAGTTATATCAAAGTCTACCTCTTGACTACTTGCAACTTTTGTATTCATTGTATTTGTTGCAGGAACATCCACGCAAGCTCATTCCCTCATTATGTCGTCAGTTTTACCACCTAGGGTGGGTGACAGGCACGGGTGGAGGAATCAGCATAAAAAAGGGGTAAGTTGCAGTAATACATTCATGTAGGATTATCTTGTAGTCATTATTATGTACCTTGCTCTTCCCTGTATGGGTGCTGGGCTTCATTAAAGGGAAAGAAGAGTAAACTCAATGCTTCCCGTAATGAGCATGTCGGAAATTTTGATTAAATAAGGTTGTTGAAATTGAATGTGTTTGGCCGAAAGGCACAGATATTGTGGCCTAGCTGTAAACCACAACACAATGTGCCAGCCACCCATTAAATTATGAACACAGAAGAAGTAGAAGAATATATTTTCTTTGTAATTTATTCACATCTTCACATGACATCTTAGAATTTTGAGCCACTTGCATGATGTTGAACACATCAGTCGTCAATAGCTCATCAGTCTAGAACAATATGATACTAACAGCACGTGCCGCTGGCATGATGTTAACCACAGCACTCATCAATAGCTTATCTGTCTAGAACACTGTGATACTATCTGCACATGTGGCTGGCATGCTGTTGACCAAGTGTCATCAATTACTGATTGGTCTAAAACAATTTGATGCTAGCAGTGTGTGCCGCTGGCATGATGTAGACCATATGTCATCAGTTGCTGATTGGTCTAGAACAATATGATACTATCAGCAAGTGCCAATAGTGTGATGTTGGCCATAAGTCATCAATTTCTGATTGGTCTAGAACAATATGATACTATCAGCAAGTGCCTATAGTGTGATGTTGGCCATATGTCATCAATTACTGATTGATCTAGAACAATATGATACTATCAGCAAGTGCCAATAGTGTGATGTTGGCCATAAGTCATCAATTTCTGATTGGTCTAGAACAATATGATACTATCAGCAAGTGCCTATAGTGTGATGTTGGCCATATGTCATCAATTACTGATTGATCTAGAACAATATGATACTATCAGCAAGTGCCTATAGTGTGATGTAGACCATATGTCATCAATTACTGATTGATCTAGAACAATATGATACTATCAGCAAGTGCCTATAGTGTGATGTAGACCATATGTCATCAATTACTGATTGATCTAGAACAATATGATACTATCAGCAAGTGCCTATAGTGTGATGTAGACCATATGTCATCAATTACTGATTGATCTAGAACAATATGATACTATCAGCAAGTGCCTATAGTGTGATGTAGACCATATGTCATCAATTACTGATTGATCTAGAACAATATGATACTATCAGCAAGTGCCTATAGTGTGATGTAGACCATATGTCATCAGTTGCTGATTGGTCTAGAACAATATGATACTATCAGCAAGTGCCTATAGTGTGATGTTGACCATATGTCATCAATTACTGATTGATCTAGAACAATTTGATGCTAGCAGTGTGTGCCGCTGGTGTTTTAAAAGTTGCTTACTTGCAACTTTTATGTTAAGCTGTCCTACAGTATTTGCCTTTCTGTTCCTACTCAGAGCTGTGTAGCTCAAGGCCATCCCCCCACCCCCGGACGATGTGCAGTACTGGCACCTTTATAAAGCCTCCTTTTCAGCCCTACTGTAATAGACACTTTGTGATGCATATGCACCTTTTGTTAGCCACCTTGTGGCTGTAGTTTCTTTTTGTAGAAAAACAAAAATCCAGGGTAGCTTACCATTTTGCCTCTTTCTGACCTGAGGTATAGGGGTACTTTATTATTCCTTACAGTGTTTGCTTGTAGAATGTTGAATTAGGAATCAACATCCTAGCACTCAGAAACTTCCATAGGCGTTTCATCCCCATCTTCAGCAGCGAGCGAAGAGTTCCCATTCCGCTGATACCAGTAACTGCCTGATTGTACTTCCGTCTCACCTTTGCATTAAGTGTTGAGTGTCGGCCAGATCCCCTAGTAACTCCTCTCAGCACCACTCTCCTCAGACTGTCATGATCTTTTTGTTTGCTTGAAGTACAGGTAGACATTTTTTCCTCCCTGGTTGTTGTCTGTCCTCCACATTTCCAAGCCTGTCTTGCACATATCTTGCAATCATAGCAAAGGACATTAAGTTTTGATTTGATATTGCTGTTTTCCCCCTTGAGAGTTCTAGGCCTGTTGGGGGGAGGGGGGGGGGGCAAAAAGTAAGGAAAAAATCTACTGATTAGGGAGGCTTCCTTCAAAGTCAGAGTGCATCTGCCTGAGAGGTGAGAAACCAACTGTCTGCATACAGATAAGCCAGATCTGTAAAATAGATGTGCATGCAAAGCTTAAGTTCTAGAAGAAAATTGGAGAAACAACCAGAACTTTCTGACGGAGTTTACAGTTGATAAACGAAAAGAAGAAAAAGAGTAGGAAGAAGACGAAGAAGAAGACGGAGAATTGAATATTACTCTGTTGCCCTCAATATTCCCTCTTGTTGTTCGTCCCAAAATATCTTCAGTATCCTGAGTCCTGCCTTGTGGTGGTCATTCCCTGCCTCATATTCTCATTCCCGTATTCAGTATCCTGAGTCCTGTCTTGTGCTGATCATCCCCTGCCTCATATTCTCATGTCCATGGTGTATTCAGAATCCTGAGTCCTGTCTTGTGCTGGCTATCCCTTGCCACATCCTCCATGAGCTCCTTCCCTTAAATCTCTTTTCTAAGCCACTTAAGAGTTTAAGCTGCTTGAAGCATGTCAGTCAGAAATATATATTGTGTGAGCGTTTTATTATAAATTTCTGCCTTTGTTTCTCCTCTGTCTGTCTAACATTTTGATAATGTGTTTACCTTTGTTTCTCCTGTCTGACTAACATTGTGTTAATGTGTTAAAATTTCATGTTGCAGTGACGAGATTTACATAGCCCCTTCTGGTGTACAGAAAGAAAGAATTAAGGTAAAATTGTGTTTACATGAATGAATAAATTAATGAATCAAGAACTGACATCACTGTGGTATGGAAATTGAGTTCGACTACTATTGCGACAGAAAATGAAAGAGTGATTGTCGCATTTTGAATGAAACTAAATACACTGAGCTATAGAGAGGAGACGCCGGAGAGAAAAATCAGCCTCATAGTGTGGGACTTTCCACTTTTGTGTGTGTATCCTATTGTCGTTTGGCAGTTTTGTCACGTACCTTTACTTCAGGATTATTTCCCTAAAATCCTCAGGTACTCTGAGACAGGGGTATTCTGAATGTTGGCTCTTGTTTGTCTAAAAGCTAAGTCCTCAGTTCAAACATACATTCAGCCTATCTCAGGGAAGAGGCGACTTGAGTTCTGACTCCATAGATTTATTATGAATTCTTGGGTTTAACTCGGCCTGACTTCCACATCACTTTGTTTGCACCCAGACTGGAAAACAACGTTAACACAGTCAAACAAATATACAACAGTGGGTCTGACAAGACATGGTTACACTTCTGGGCTCTACTGGCAAATCCGGACGAAGAATAAACAGACTTGGACGACTTAGTCAGAGTTATCTCCCGTCGCCGCACTCCGAACAGTGATCGGAAAACAAACGAAACAAACGACACACTTACCTATCATCCTGCGGTTGCGTGTAGGGCTGCGTACGGTTGCGTGAGATATCATGGCATCATCATATGGTTGCGTGCACAGTTGCGTACGGTTGCGTGAGGCATTGTGAATGGTTGTGTAGTCATCATCATGCGGTTGTTGGATTAGAGTTAGGGGTAGGGGTAGGGTTAGGGTTAGGGTTAGGGGTAGGGTTAGGGGTAGTGTTAGGGTTAGGGGTAGGGTTAGGGGTAGGGTTAGGGTTAGATGTGAAAATTTTGACGTAGGATTTCGAAATACTGGCCGACAATATGATGTTTGTGGGAGTGGCGCCACTGAAACTCTGCCAAATATGACGCCAATAGCGTGCGGCTGGTGCCCCCAATCGTTGGCGAATTGTGCGTTTGACCAGCATCCAGAGGCCCTCGATTGTTTGTGTGTGTGTATGGGACTGTGCGCGATTATAGGGAACTCCGGCGTCAAAATTGTCAAATCTAACGCTAATCCTAACCCTACCGCTAACCCTAATCCTACTCCCTAACCCTAACACCTACCCCCCTAACCACGCAAATTTATCAATCATTAAAGCATACAAATCGGCAAACACCAACAAACACAACACACCCAAAAAAAAACACACCCAGAATTGTCCTGCAGCGTCGAAAAAAAAAAACCAGATCTGGGGGAAACAACCAAGCATTGGCAGCCCTGATGTCGACGTGACTGTCTTCTTTGTTTCGTTGTGGCTTTTCCGATCACTGTTCGCAGTGCGCCCAAGGGAGAGAACTCTGACTAAGTCGTCCAAGGCTGTTTATTCTTCGTCCGGATTTGCCAGTAGAGCCCACTTCTGACTATGATGTATAATTCAGTCAAGACAAGTGTTTCTTCTATGAACAGGAAACTCTCAGAACAAAAAATATAATGTAATAAGTTCACTGTGGTAAGAGAAGACCAAATGTAGAATGAAGAGAAACAGAACGATAGTTCATAATGTTCTCAAAGAATAAAGATTAGAGAACGGGTCTCCTTTGAAGGCCTCTTCCATTTCTGTGGTCATCATCGCCGGAGGGCAGAGAGAGAATACTGAGTACATATTGGTCTTGGCTGCTATGATATTCCCTGCAATTGTAAGACTTATCTGTAAAGAATCCAGAGACTCTTCTGTGTTGGAAAGTGTAAATCTTCGCAGCCTCCCCACTCCTTGAACGATTCGGTAGATCAAGACCTCTTCTCCCAGACTAGCAGAAAGACTAGGGAGTCCTTCCTGGGACTCACTGGTGTCGACCTCGAACACGGTACACATTATGAGGAGATGACATTGCAATGCTGGCTAGCCTCTCAGGTTGACGGTTGACTGGAGAACCGGACTACCACTCAGACGTTTGTTGGATCTTCAGTCATCCCATGCTGACGATAATTATCTGACAAAACAGATTTTTGTTAATAACGGTCAAGTGGCAACTGCGACAAAACACTTCTGCTCACTTTGAGGTAGTGAGAGGGAGTGACGTAGAGAATACTAGTCCCTAACTACCACCGTTGGGCAATAATTTGGCTCAAGCTTGTAGTGAAGCGGTCAAACTGATAAACTTGAACAGGCACAGAAAACGTGTCGTATTATACATACTGACACTATACGTTAAGAAGGATTGAATTAGGAGCGATCTGCTTATATTTATCACATCTGGACTCCCCAATAAAGAACTATATATCTACTGACTGATTATCCAAGATATAAATAAATCAACTGGCATGGGGGTGTTCAACCTGCGGACAGGTCTAGTGTGGTAGGGGAGTTGATGCTGTTATGTGACACCTATGTGGCAGAGACGGCCACTCTCACATCGGACTTTACAGTCACAGCAGATGCTGTTCCTAAACCCAGCAGCACATTTCCATAGTCCCCAGGGACTGACGGATGCCATTAGTCGGGAAATTCTCATACATTCTCCATCCCTTCCTCAGTGGTGCCAGTTGTGACCTGACTTCAGTTTTTTTAACCTTGAAAAATGTCCAAACCTTCTGTTCATTCTGTGCGGAATCATTCGGTCTAGATACGGATGCTCTGTCTGTCCTACTGCACTGTTGACGTTGGCGTGATCCCAGAGAGCTTTCACCACGTCTGCTTCATTGGAAAGTAGCTCATCACCCAGAGAGGCAGCAGCAGCTGATCTGTTGGCCTGCTTATTACCACACTTTCCATGGTGTGCTTCTTATCCGAGGCCTTTTGAGCGACTCAAGCACTCTGAGCACATTATTTTTTTTTCAAAGCATTCTGTGCAAGTCAGTTATAACTGCAGCAGGTCAGACTTCACTATTCTTATCAAGCCATCGAAAAGCTGTCATTACTGCCTCTACTTCCATTCTCATACTATATATTGTAATGTTATACATGAGGCTTTCTTAACAACTTCCATTATCCTTTACAGTGAAACCTCATCCACTGTTTCTGTTGTTTCAAGTGTGTTCCTGTTGTTTATAGTGCGTTTCTCTAGTCTCTCACTACAGGTTCATCTGTGTATATAATCTCACCTGGGTGTGAATTTTCACTTATCACTTCTTGTACTGATGCTTCTGTTTCCCCAGCTATCCATTCCCGATGCCCTTGGTCTAAAGTAACTATCACTCTGTGCAGGGCTGCTTTGGTGTGTTGTCTTTGTGAATGTTGTTCAAGAAAGCATCATTCTATTATTCTTTAACCCTTTTGTCCGGTAACACTAAAAAGAATAGGTCAAAACCCCATTAGAATTATCCCCCCCTCCTCTCTTCACAAAAAAAACCACCATATTTCACAAGTCACTAATAGATTCATTGAAAATGTATTTATCTACATTAAAATGTTTTTTCTTCAAAATATTTAAAGTTTTATGAAAAGAGTAATCAGTGTTACTAATGGTATGACCCCGTGACCTATATCACTGAGGCTTAGGGGAAACATGTTAACTTGAATTTAAAAAGGCAGTTTAGCACAAAATAAAAACTCCCTCTAAATGCTATTGATAGATAATGTATTCATATCCTGACCTCCTAAAAATTTGTGTGGGTCAAAAACAGGCAATAGCGTTAATTATACAATTTGAAACAGTTAACTTAGACAAGTCGGAAAAGTGACATTTGTGGGGAATTAGACTCAGCTGTAAATGTCGGTTTTGCGACTTCCTGAGACGAAAGGGTTAAAAGAACATTCCTGCCTCGATGGTTCTAAAACTTGACCAGAAGTCGAGTACGTGAGTTTGTTTCTTGTATCCCTCAGTTTGTGAAATAATTCAACAAAGTGAATGTGTGTTTGCTTCCAGAATGAGGACCTGTTTGTTCAGACGGTGGAAGGTGTGGATCTTCTAACTCCACCTCCTCATAAAAAGCTGAAGAAGAGCCAGTGTACACCTCTCTTTATGAATGCCTACACAATGAGAAGTAAGTCTGAAGACTGTACAGACCTTTTTTTATCTGGTGGTAAGCAAATGGTTTGCCCACTCGGAGAGAGCCTTCTGATTCTATACCATTCAAAGCATATACCAAAGAGGAGAGGGATCTAGAGCAAGAGGTAGACTAAGAACAAAATGGAAGGATAACATCAGAGAAAATCTACAGTGCCACAGTGTGTCTGTGGTTGAAGCAGCCAGAAAAGCGCGAAGGAGGATCTTATATCTCCTTTGACACCTGAACCAGTAAAAAAGGACGTAAAGAAGAAGAAGAAGAAGCAATGGTCATCAAGCAAGGTGATACATTTAAATACGCGAGTACCCTGATAACAGCAAACAGAAGATGTATTAGAGAAAGCAGTGGCAAACTACATAAGGTAAAAGTACCTAGTAAAATCACAAACAACCAACAAACACTGGGGTTAATTTGCGACATCCTGTAAAATATAGGCAACTAGTTTTATTCTGTTTAGCACAGGCGTGTCAAATTGAAGGTCCTAACTCAGTTCTGAGTCCGAAGTAGCTCAGCACAGTGCACAGGCTCCGTAGCACCGGTGAGTATCCTGAAATATTTTGGGTAGATTTTAAACTCCAAATTTTGCCTGGGGCAGCGCTGTTAAGCTTGTCTTTTCAATTTCAACTGCCAAGGGATTTTTTACGTGCGCAACAATACACACAGGCGTCCGATTTTACTACCCAGAGACCAGGGGAAATTACTGGAAGTCCGCTTGAAGAAAATCCCAGTCTTCACTAAAGGCCTGAACCCGGGACCTCTAGTACTCGAGGCGGACACCATGCCTCGAGACTACAACTAATTGAAGTCATTTAATAGAAATTGTTGCAGAATATTTCCTCAGTGTGAGGGGCCCCAGGTGGGCTTGTAAAAGGCCTTATGTGCTCCGTGGGGCCATCGGTTTGACCTGCCTGCTTTAGCAGATATCATCAAGAATAAACAGTGTCAACCATCACATTGATATTTTGACACTAAATTACCAGTTCTTGATGATTGTTTCTTTTATGTTATTTTATTTATTTTTATTTATGTAATACATACTACAGGAGATCGCAGATTGTGGAGAGGCATGGTCTCCCACGCCAGTCGGCAGGGCACCTGATGATGATGATGATTTGAGGTTTCAATTTACTAGAAAATTTTTCTCCAAGTTCTTGTTGATAGCGCTTGGCATTTTTCTTTTGGCCTCTTTGGAATCACATTTTTTTCTTCAATTTGAGGGGGTCCTTGCCATTTATTCAAAAGGGGAACCATTTATAAAGGGTTGACAATTAATGCCTCAGATGGAGCTGATGTGGGAGAAAGCCTGGACAGAGCAGATGTCATCATTGCTGTACGGACTGGGCTGGTGGATGATGACGGTTCTCTGACACTAACATGATCTTGTGACATGGGAGTAGAGCATGATGCAGCATGTCTGTGCCACCTCAAGGCCTTATAATCAATCTCTGAGGACAATTCGTAGAAGTACCTTGGAGTGGCTGCTGCATCAGAGAACTGAGCACACACGGATATGCTTAACGTCCATTGACGTCGATTGTGATAACATAGCTTAATAGAGCTGATTTGATATACCGCTTGCTGTTCTGATATACCACTTGCTGTTCTGATATACTGCTTGCTGTTCTGACATACCGCTTGCTGTTCTGATGTATAGCTTGCTGTTCTCAATTACAGCTTGCTGTTCTGATACACCACTTGCTGGCTGTTCTGATATACTGCTTGCTGTTGTGATATACTGCTTGCTGTTCTGATATATTGCTTGCTGTTCTGATATACCACTTGCTGTTCTGATATATCGCTTGCTGTTCTGATACACCATGTGCTGTTTCCTGCAGATGCTGGCTGTGTCATCCACACTCACTCCAAAGCTGCTGTAATGGCCACTCTTCTGTTTTCTGGCACCGAGTTCAGGATCACGCACCAGGAGATGATTAAAGGCATCAAAAAAGCATCCACAGGTAAGTATCTTTTCCTTGCAGCTGTTTGTGTGTTTACAGGAAATGCACCCTGAAAAATTGCTTTGACAGGGTAGACCAGGCATTTAGCCTTGGTTGACAGCTGGTCTAGGAAGGAACTCTGACAGAGGGACCAACAGAGTACTGCACTTCTGATCCAACAGCTTCTGCAATTTGCTTTGTTCCTATAGAGACATTCCACATGGGCAATACATGGTCTTTACGGTACTGCCCAGGGTTTGTCTCATTGATAAGAACTTCAACAGTGCCTAATTGGGCACATTCGCTAGTATCATATATTCATTACTCGTACGCTCAGACTTAAAGGAAACATTCCTCAATAATTGTCCCCTACAGAGGGCAGTTGGTTTATTCTTCTCTCCCCAAAATGTTTACCACCTTTTCGCTGCTATGAACGTGTTTTCCTGTTTTTTGCTTACGCTGCTACGGACGTCTCTCGGAGTTTTTGTCTTCTTGACCCCCTAGTGCTATGGACGTAAAAAAAAAGCATTTTTTGACTTTCCTTACAGATTTCTATGGACTGTTTTCTCGGTGGTCAAAGAGCAATACATATTAGCTATAATTATAACTGACTAATTACAAACCCCACCCCGGTGATAGCTTTGTCTGTCAAGTTTTTGAGCCTGTGAAACTCCTCCATGGAGTTTCTACCACAGCGGTGGAAACAATGATGAAAAGTATAAATTTTATTTCACTATCCCTAGCGAAGCTGGGCAGTTAAATCTAGTTTCTAGTGGTTGCTTGTTGTAAAGACAAGGTTTCTTGGAGTCGCCAACATGTGTCTGACTTGTCACCACTTGGGCCAACCACCCACCTCCATAGGGTGAACATTTTTAGGTGTACAAAATAAAGCCCCCACTGACGACGCATCTTTTGGGTTTGGAGGGTGGAAAAGTATTGCACACAGGAGAGACCTTTTTTTTCAGATTGCTTAGCACAGAGCTGACAGCTACGGCTGGAAACATAGCAGTTAAAGGGTTAATGTTAAATCAAGAATCAACCTCACAGCGAATGACCTTGGCTCCCAGGTCGACCCAGCTTTGAGTGGGTACCGGGTGCAGTCCCGGGAAATAGAGGTGGCCGGCGTGATGCTGACCACATCACCCATCTTGTGCCGATTGGTCTATAAAAATATAGGTCTAGCCCTATATGCCCTATACGCCTAGAGGCATGTAAAAGGGTCCTTTACCTTTACTTTACTTTTTACCAACATCACAGCACTGGGGACATCCTAGTAAACACTGTTTTCCAACACACCAGCATGACTTTGCTATATTGGGCAAAGAAAAATAATAATGATCAAATTACTTCTGCTTGATACAGATCTTCATGTATATATGTATATAATGTAAATCTCCTCAGGTGATTACTACAGGTACGATGATGAGCTTGTAGTTCCAATCGTGGAGAACACACCTTTTGAGGAGGACCTGAAGGTAATTCACTAGACCCTTTTAGTCTTCTTGTGAAAATACCTATTTAGTGGATATGAAAGGAATATGATATATGAATATGATATATGAATATGAGGTCTTAGGTAAATGAATGCAGCAATAGGAGGCACAGTACCTGTAAATTTCATAGAACATCAAAGAGTCATAGTTTGGTCATCTAGACAGAATGGAACAAAATCAGCCAGCAGCTGGAGCATAGTACATAAGAACAGCAGGCTAAAGGCAAGAGACTGACCAAGAAAGAGATGGGAAGAGGGAGTAAAAAAGACACTACAGAAATGCAGTATGAAATTAACACAAGCTATGCAACCAGCCCATAAGCACTCTATCCGCATCTTCAGGAGCAGGCGAAGAGTTCCAATTCTGATAGCACCAGTAACTGTCTTATTGTATATCCGCTTGACTTTACTTTGAGTTTTGAATGTCCGCCAGATTCTCTGGTAACTCGTCGCAGCGCCATTCCCCTCCGACCGTAATGATTTATTGCCTTTGCACTGTTTACTCGCTCCCAAAGGGCCCTCGCAAGCGACGAAAGCAGTAGCACAAAAGAAAATTAAGAAGAATTCAGCACATAGATTTTTTATAAACACCTGGGGGGGGGGGGGGGGGGGGGGGCAAACCTTAAGACCACTATCTGACAGGTAAGAGTGAAATTCAAAGCTACACCACAGTAATCAAATCGCTAAAAAAATTATATTTTAATTTGCTTTTTTAATGGCTTTTTTTTATCACTAGTTAAACAGCGATTAACTGGGCTATTTCCCTTTGGCCATGAAATGAGAGGTTTTGTTAACTTAGCCACCTGGAGCAAAGAGAGGTCATATGAGATTATTACATTACAACGATATTTCTATGTGTTTCTATTCTTTGTTTTTCCTTCCTTCTTCTTTTGCTGCTGCTTCTCTGCTGCTTCTTGTTCTTCTGCGTTCAACATCAGCCATTCTAAACACTCAATTCTGACTGGGTCACAAACAGGACAGTTGCCTTGCAGTTTAGCTCCCTTGGGCTGGATCCCCAACTACTGATGGGAGTAGATGAGACAACCTGGAACACATGTTCTGGAGTCTGCCTGCCTGTCTGTCTGTCACAGGTGGCAGATTATTTTATATTATTAGATAATGATGGTGGCACCAATTTTATTCACAGGATGAGATGGCGAACGCCATGAAAGACTACCCTGATGCATGTGCCGTGTTAGTTCGACGCCACGGTGTGTACGTTTGGGGAGACACATGGGAGAAGGCCAAGACCATGTATGGATGAGTCATTTATCATTTCATTCAGTAGAAGAGACTATTAGAACTGTTATTTTGTGCACATGCTATGTTTATAGTCTGTTTCTTGTGTGTTTCTGCTGTTTTTGGTGTGTTTCTGTTGTTGCTTTTAGTGCATTTCTAATGGAATTTCTAGTGTGTTCCTGTTGTTTCTGCTGTGTTCATGCTGCTTCTAGTGTGTTCCTGTTGTTTCTAGTGTGTTTCTGCTGTGTTCATGTTTCTTCTAGTGTGTTCCTGTTGTTTCTGCTGTGTTCATGTTTCTTCTAGTGTGTTCCTATTGTTTCTGCTGTGTTCATGTTTCTTCTAGTGTGTTCCTATTGTTTCTGCTGTGTTCATGTTTCTTCTAGTGTGTTCCTATTGTTTCTGCTGTGTTCATGTTTCTTCTAGTGTGTTCCTATTGTTTCTGCTGTGTTCATGTTTCTTCTAGTGTGTTCCTATTGTTTCTGCTGTGTTCATGTTCATTCTAGTGTGTTCCTATTGTTTCTGCTGTGTTCATGTTTCTTCTAGTGTGTTCCTATTGCTTCTAGTGTTTCTGGCATTTCAGATATTACTTTTAGTGTGTTTATAGTGTGTTTCTATTTTTTTCTTAATGTGTTTCTCTTGTTTCTATTTTTTTTTCTAGTATGTTTCTGTTGTTTGTAGTGTGTTTCTAATGTGATTATTATTTTTATTTTTTTTGGGGTGTGTTTTTTGTGTGTGTTTCTGTTGTTTTTAGTGTGTTTCTGTTGTTTCTAATGTGGTTTTGTTGTTTCTAGTGTGTTTCTAGTGTGTTTCTATTGTTTTGAGTGTTTAAAAAAAATTGTTTCTAATGTTTGTTATGGTGTTTTGGGGGGGGGGGGGGGGGGGGGGGGGGGGGAAGGGGGGGGGTTAGGTTTGAACATTTTGTGGTGTGGTTGCATTGATGTTTTGTTTTGCGGCGTGGTTGGATTATGACTTTCTAGTATGTTTTGTGTTTTGTTTTTCGCATGGTTGTATTTTTTATAGTTCTGGTATGGTAGTGTTTATGTTGTCTCTAGTGAGATTGATTGTATTATATTTCTAGGCTAGTATGGTTATGTTTGTGTAATATTTCTACTAATATTTATATTTGTGTTATATTTCTAGTATTGTTGTGTTGCTTTTAATATGGTTGTGTCTATGTTTCTTCTGCGGTTGCATTTAGGTTTTTCCTAGTTTTTTTAAATCTTCAGTTCGATAGTGATAATTTTGTTAGTGTAATTGTGCCGGTGTCACTTTTGCCCCCCCCCCCCTCTTCCCAAAAATGAGGTCACAGAAGACACAGGGCAGGTGGGTTTCAAACTGCTGTCATAGCTTGAGGGCCGGTGGTTGAGGATGAGCTCTCAACTCTCACCAAATACCCCTAAGGCAGGACTTCTTCTTGTTTACTTTAACCAGCTGTAAACTCCCGCAGAGAGTTATGGTTGTTCAACTACCTCTAGACAAGATTTGTTCCAGAACCTGAGTGTTGCATGCACATCTATTTTACAGATCTGACTTATTTGTATGCAGACTGCCTCTCAGGCAGATGCACTCCGACTGCTAGAAAAAATCCCCAATCATTTGACTCTTACGACACGCTTGTTGGGGAGGCAATGGGTCTATTTTTGTTTTCCCCACAATGAGGCCCCGGAACCCACACGGGAAACCTAAGGCGTGTACATTCATCAGCTGTGAAGAAACAGTCAAACTCTTAGCCTTCTCCTGGCGGAACTGTTTACATCAGGGCTGTGCAAATAAGTTTACTTGGGGGCTGAAAATGGGGATGGTCACAGGTCAGAGGTCCCAGCGCCGGCATAGAAAGATCATTAATACATTACAACTTGCAGTGGTCCATGGATAAGTGCTCTGTTCTTCTTTTAACTCAAGTCTGAGTTCGAAGAAGCTCAGCACAGTGCACAGGCTCTGTAGCACCGGCGAGGATCCTGAAATACTTTGTGTAGATTTTTAACTCCAAATTTTGCCCGGGCAGCGCCGTTAGGCTACTCTTTTTTATTTCCAACTGCCATGGGATTTTTTTTACATGTGCAGCAACGCACACGGGCGTCCGATCTCACTACCCAGAGACCAGGGGAATTACTAGAGGTCCAAGACCACGTGAAAAAATACCAGCCCTTACTGGGGATCGAACCCGGAACCTCTAGCACTCAAGTCGGACACCATGCCTCGAGATCACGCAGCCCCCCCCCCTCCCCCACACACTATGGAAATATGTCTAAATCTGTAACAGTGGAACATAAACTGTATGGATCACTGCATTACATACCTTGGTGACCGGGTCGCCCATTGGCTCGCTTGTAGATGACTTCATCACCCATCACGGCAGTATTTATAGGTCTCCTTTGATCGCATAAACAATGCAGGAGTCCTTTGCAGGGCTGTTATTGGCGAGCAGTGATAAGCCATTTTATAAAGTGCACATAACCTAGTCACAATTATAACCTAAAGCTCCCCCCCCCCACACCCCTCCCCCCCCCCCCCCCCTTTTCAGGGATGCTGGTTGAACGTGAAGTTTTATTGTTGGGGGGGGGGGGAGGGGGGGGAGGTCCACCGATCCATGCGGACCATTAAATAAACTAAAAATGACAGTGAAATTTATATGAGAGACAAAATTACTAATATAGACAACTTATTTCAGGTGAACAGAAGAAGAACATGGCAGACCATGAGAGTGTTGTTGAAATTACTTTGTACATTTGTCTACAGGTGTGAATGCTATGACTATCTGTTTGACATTGCTGTCCAGATGAAGTCTGTTGGGCTGGACCCCACACAGGTCCCTACACTTCCCACAGGAGCATATGTCAGCCAGAGCAGTAGATAATTATCTGTCCTGTCTCTCCTATATCATCTGTCTCATCCCTGTCCTATCTCTCCTATCATCTGTCTCATCCCTGTCCTGTCTCTCCTATCATCTGTCTCATCCCTGTCCTGTCTCTCCTATCATCTGTCTCATCCCTGCCCTGTCTCTCCTATCATCTGTCTCATCCCTGCCCTGTCTCCCCTATCATCCATAATATAAATTTGTCTTCTGATTCATGTCCTGTCTCTCCTATCATCCATAATATAATTTGTCTGATTCATGTCCTGTCTCTCCTATCATCTGTCTCCTGTTTCATCATCAATGATGTGCCCTGTCTTGAGTCATCATCTGTCTCATTCATATCTGCCCTGTCTTGAGTCTCATTTTATCTGTCCCAACAGTTGTGTCTGTCAATCAGTCTGTATGAGTCAGACTGAGCAGCTTGCTGGAGAGAGCACATACACATACTAAATAAAAGATGGCCATATTTTATTGTCACAGCATTAAACTTTTATTGACATTTGATTTCTTTTCTTGTATCAGTTCATTTTTGTTTGTAAAGCAGATTTTAAGAGAGCAATTAATTCCTCTTATTTGGTCTGTCTCTTTATATAAAATTAGTTGCGAGCCCAAAGCTATGGGTTTGGGCAAAACCAGTGTGCTGGATGACACTCAGTCACAGAAATAAAATTTGTTTTTATATGGGAAGTTGTTGAATTACACGACTGAGGCCCCTGTGCTCGTTGGACAATGTGCCACAACATACAAAGTCCGACAATAAAGTAATGATACTATTAAAATTAACAGTTGATAATACATATAACCTGTATTTTTTCTCAAAGTAAGCCCCTTGTGCATTATTGATACAGCAAGTGGCACGATCTAACAAATACTAGAATGACCTCTGTAGTTGTAATGTCCCTTTGGATGTGTCATCAATATCATTATAGAAGCGTCTTTTCAATCGTAACTTTAATTTTAATATAGAAAATCACAGGGAGACCAATCTGGGGAATAGGCTGAGAACACACACTTGTTTTGGGGCCAAACATTATTGTTTTAGTCTCTTGGGTATCAACCTGCTGACATTTTGTGGTCATCAGACAATGTGGTACAAACTGGCAAGCAACTTTTTTCTTGCCAAAATCTGGTACTAAAATATTATGAGTGGTCTCTCTGTTAACACCAGATTCATCTGCCATCATCCTCACAGTCAAACGATGATCTTCTTGTATCCGTTCTCTGACTTTTGCAAGGAACAGAAATTTGGCGTCCAGGTCTATGTGCATTATTAGTAATATTTCCATATCACTTTTGAATCGTAAAAATACCACCTGAAAGATTGTGCATGAGATAAACAATTATCCCCATAAACTTGTTGCATTAATTCAACTGTTTGAATGGCACTTTTTCTGAGTTTTAAAAAGAATGTAATTTTAGCTTTTTGCTCAGTGCTGATTACGTAACAAACAATGCACCTCTGAGTGGGTCAACATAATGGTAGCTTGTTTGTTGTCTGCTTAACGAACGGTGATGAAAAGTTGCCAGATCAAAATGAATACCTCTTTAGATTCCATGCCCTGCTTCATAGATGGCATTTTTGTCTTGGCCATAATAAAATCAGACTCATTACTTAATTGTCGAACCTTGTATGTTGCCACATCATCAGTTAGTGTAAAACGTGTACCAACAACTATATGTTAACCGTAACTTGTACTGACAACTATACATTGCCACATCATTAGTTAACTTGAGAACGTGAATCTTGTACGAACAATTATATGTTGTCACATTATCAGATTACACAAGGCTGAAACTTGTACCAAATACTATGTTGTCACATCATCAATTAACTTGAGATTGTGAAACTTTTACCAATAACTATATGTCTCTACGCTCTGTTATGAGATCGGGACACTTGTAACAACATCATGTTGTTACATCATCAGATTGTCTTGTTGCCGTTGTTCCTTCAGTATTTCTCCAGCAAAGCTCTAAATGGCAGTTGGTACCCAGACATTCTAGTCAAATGGCCAAATCCTCTCAACTTTTGTTCTTTAATGATCCGTGTGACTGGTTTCAGACCTAGTCTCCTAATTTCTCCATTCTAAACTGTATCTCTTGTTACCTCTTTATGATATCTCATCTCTGTTGTTGATCTTTCACTCATGGGTTGTAAAGGTTCATGAATTGCACAGTAAAAATAAATTCATGAATCTAAGGTTTTCCAGGTTTTTTGGCATTAAGTGAGATTGTATATGCACTTTTGCCTCTGACTGTCCAGATCTGACTCCATTCAGGATGGGGTTTGAGTTTCTTCTCCTCCTCCTTCTGTAGTCCGGTTCTGTTTTTCAGCATCAGGGTTTGAAGAGGCATCGGCTGTGAGCTTGAGACATGTGCTGCATGGATGATGATATTTATGGCCTCAGGGATTCCATCTATCCATCGTTTGCCTGGTCAACCTCTAGTTCTGTTTCCTTTATGTATAAGTGACAGGGCTTTCTGTGGTGCACTATCTGGTGGTAGTCTTGACACATGACCAAACCATTTGATCCTGTCTCTCCTAGTTACAGTTATGATTCGTTGCAGACATTTCATTTCTGTTGTTTTGATTCTTGTTTTTTTATTTTTTTTTTTTTTTGTTAATGTCCACTTTGGGCATTGGTAATACAATGTTGGATAAAAATACTGCAATGTATATAGTGCTCTACTGAACTACTCAGTATTAAAACCGATGCAGTGAGGAAGTTTCTCATGGCCTTTTGGCATTCAGCAAGAAGAAGGATGCACCTGTTTCATACGTCTGAGACCATGCATCCACAACTGGGAGTTAATATTCTTTCAAGTTACTGGTTGTGGTGTGTCCTGCTCAGCTGTAGGAATTGAATTTGTGCACATTTGTAGTCAGCAGATCAAGTGGTTTGGTCATCTCATTAAAAAATTCAGTAACATCAAATACCATCATAGGCACTACATCTCAGAATATCAGTTACAAGAGCAAGAAGATGGCCATGAGAAATATGGATCGACAATATTAAAGACACTACACCTCCAAGGCATGACAGGGCAGTGCCAGCCAACATGCACTGGATTGCAAAAGTATTCCTTCCCACATTTAACAGCAGAAGTGGTTTATGATGATGAAGATGTAGACTGCAGAAATTATGCAGATCACAGATAATTAAGTCTGAAAGAATCGGCGAACTTTTGGCGTAAGCAGTTTGAAGAATGATGTAGGGAACATTGTGTGGGACACATTTGCGTATTTCAGGTAATTGTAGGGTGTGGCAATAACTTCGAGAAGGGCAGTCAGTAGTTGCCGATCCTGGAATGGAGGAGAAACATAAACATTAACATTCCATAACAAATCATAACATAACATATTAGTGAGTTTCAACTTCTTGTTTTGTCATCTCACTGATACCAGGTTGTAGTCCAGTATCAAGGTTTTCTGTATTTTCCTTGCATTTCTCGGGTGGCTTGGGTGATGGATTTGTTCACCTTTTTTTAAAAGTTTCAGGCACAGCATTTATCTGTCTCTTTCTTGGTCTTCCCTTTGCCTTCCTCCCAGATGTTCTGCTGTAAAAAGTCTCATGTGCAGTTTGGCCTGGCTGCATTCTCACTAGTTATTTTCAACAAACTTATACAATGTTACCCATGTGGGTCTCGGGGTGGGGGAGGGAGGAGGAAGAATAGGCCCACTGCCCCCACCAACAAGTGTGCCATAAGAGTCGACTAATTGAGAGCATCTTTCGAAGTCAGAGTGCATCTGGCTGAGAAGCAAGGATAAGATAGATATGAAAAATAGATATGCACAAAACACTCAAGACTATAAAGTCCAGATATACAGGAAGAACCAGAACTTTGCCCTGGAGTTTACAGCAAGTGAACAGGATGAAGAAGATATAGGATTTACATTTCCTTTAAAGTTGGAGTGTATGCAAAAACATGGAACCAACAGTTTGCAAACAAATAAGCCAGATCTGTGAAATGGATCTGCAAGCAACACTCTAGTCACGGAACAAGACCGAAGACAAACAACCAGGACATTTTGCAAGAGATTGTGGCCATGGAACATGAAGAACAAGCTTCTTCATCCATGATATCAAAAGCCCCCGTGTGTATTCCGGGGCCCCATTGTGGGGAAAACAAGAATAGACCCACTGCCTCCCCAAAAGCATGTAGTAAGAGTCGACTAATTGGGGAGCTTCCTTTGAAGTCGGAGTGCATCTGCCGGAGAGGCAAGGAACCAACAGTGTGTATTCAAGAGAATGAGATCTGTAAAACTGATGCACACGCAACACTCAGCTTCTGGAGCAGGACTGCAGTTCAGTAGTGGATGAGCAACCAGAACCTTCCGCCAGAGTTTACAGCTGGTGAACGCGAAGAAGAAGAAGATATCAAAAGGACAGCAAAGGACACAGCAGCATGAAGAACTAGACTAGTCCTGTATAGTGTTTAATGGCACTACAAGATGATTGTAATAATTACTGCCCATGGGATGTGTAAGCTGTAGCCTTGACACATTCCAGTCTGGACATATGAGCTTGAGTAGCTGGTTCCTTTCCTCAACTCTTTCAGTCCCAAGAAGGCCATCATACGTTCCTACCTCCAAGCCCAATAAATGCAAGATGCACCGATTGTACATCTTTCTGTACTACCCCTTGGGCCTCTTATGGTAAACCCCATGAGACTAAATAAGTTAACAGACTGCCATTTAAACAAACAAACAAAACTAAACTTAATAATAGCATTAAGGGAAAAAATATTCTGCTGGGCATTCAAACTAAATGGTGTTTTCAAAGCCTGACATAAGAGTTTCCTATTAGCCTCAATGATGGGGGTCACAAGATGATGACATCAGTAACCTGAGACATATATTTCTTAGGCACCCATGTATGTGTTCTATTTAATCTCCTTATATTAACCTTTATATATTTTGAAAATAAATGTAAATAAATTTGCGTGGTCTCGAGGGATGGTGTCCGCCTCGAGTGCAAGCCCAGATTCAAAGATTCAGACCCCAGTGAAGGCTGGGATTTTTTCAAGTGGGCTTCTACTAATTTCCCCTGGTCTCTGGGTAATGAGATCTAACGCCCGTGTGAATTGTTGCGCACGTAAATAAATCCCTTGACAGTTGGAAATCAAAAAGAGTAGCCTAACTGTGCTGTCTGGGCAAAATTTGGAGTTGAAACATCTACCCAAAATATTTCAGGATCCTCACCGGTGCTACGGAGCCCATGCAGTTTGCTAAGCTACTTAGGTCTCAGACATGAGTTAGAAGTAGAATGGAGCACTTATGGGTTAATACCCTTGTGCCATGATGTTGGTTGTGGCGGTTCCTGGAATTCACACAGCCTCTAGGAAATGGGTACCAGAGTTAACACTTTGGGGTAAATGGAGGAACATCGCTGTAGCTATGGAGGCGACACAGGCAGACAGTTTCTTATCCACTATCTTTACTGGTGGCAGAGCACTTATGGTTTATAACTGTGCAATGATGCTGGTTCACATCTCTCGACCTTACCTTTTATGATGTTGATCCGCTGTTAAATCTTAAACTAAAAAAAAACCAAAACAACAGTGACCTGTGTAAAAAAGAATTTCTTTTTTTTTTTTGAATTCTATGAGGTCGTGACCATTTTTCTAAAGTGTTACCAGGGTGAAAGGGTTACACTTTTTAGCTTTACCTTGAATATTTGTTGATGCTGGTGTGAACTGTACAGACGGCCGTCTCTCACTATATCTTCTATTAGTGACTCGTATTCTTCTGTTGAGGAATTTTCACAAAATCAAAGAGTTAAGAAACGGTCTTTACCATCTGAGCATTTTGGGCAAACATTCATACATTTGTTAAGTGTGCAGGATCTTTGTCAATTATAGGCCAACTGCTAGACTGTATTTACCACTTCTGTGGTATGGGAGGGAGGGGTCTACGTAAGAAAAGGACCCTTTTCTACACCTTCAGATGTAGTGGGCATATAGGGCTAGGCCTATATTTTATAGGCTGACACTCAGTGATATGGTCAACATCATGCTGGCCACCTTTACTTCCCAGAACTGTACCTGGTATCCATTTAAAACTGATGTGCCTGGGAGCCAACATCATTTTTAAAAAAGTCAAGACTCCATCAGGATCTAAACCCATGACACTCCGATCCACAGGAGCGTCTCGCCACTACACCATGGTAGCTCCCTGAGGTCTTTAAGCCTGAGGATTTAGGGCTGCACGGCTAGTGCTGTCACCAGGAACTGTCCATGTAGTTTTATTTTTTGCCCCGGAGAGAAAAAAACTGCACGACCTTACCAAGGATTCGAACCTGGGTCTCCTGCATGAGAGCTATATGTTCTTAACCATTTGGCCTGCCACTCCTCAAAATTACATGCAACCTTACTGTTATACCCAACAGGGGATATCGGATGTGGCAAATTTCTGTTGTGAAGAACAATTTGTTTATCCCCAGCAATTTTTCTTGCTTTACTTGTTTTTTTGGATAAGAGACATTTCTGATAAGAAGGACAATTTCTTGGATCCGCGTTGAGTTCTCCTTATCAGGCTGCATTGTATTGCATGTTAAAATGTCATTATATTACATTATACTATATGACATGTCATGTTCTCATTGCAGACAGGTTAATTTGCTGGGATCAGAGTTTATGTTCATAAACACCCATTTTCAAATCACGGACATCCTGCATAGATGTTAATATGTGGGACATTCTGGTTAGTTGCTAATGTGTGAGAATTCTTAGGTAGTTGCTAATCTATGGGTGGTTGCTAATCTATGGGGCATTATAGGTAGTTGCTAATATATGCGACATCCTGTGTAGATTTTAATCTGTGGGACATTCTGGGTAGTTGCTAATCTATGGGACATTATAGGTAGTTGCTAATATATGGGACATCCTGCGTAGATGTTAATCTGTGGGACATTCTGGGTAGTTGCTAATCTGTGGGACATCTCAGGTAGTTGCTAATCTAAAGGACATCTTGGGTAGCTGCTAATCTATGGGACATCTTGGGTAGTTGCTAAACTATGGGACATTCTGGGTAGCTGCTAATCTATGGGCCATTCTGGGTAATAGCTTATCTATGGGACGTTCTGGGTAATTGCTAATTTATGGGACATTCTGGGTAATTGCTAATCTGTGGGACATTCTGGGTAGTTGGTAATCTATGGGACATTCTGGGTAGTTGCTAATCTGTGGGACATTCTGGGTAATTGATAATCTGTGGGAGATCTTGGGTAGATGCTAATCTGTGGAACATCTTGGGTAGTTGCTAATCTGTGGGACATCTTGGGTAGTTGCTAATCTGTGGAACATCTTGGGTAGTTGCTAATCTGTGGGACATCTTGGGTAGTTGCTAATCTGTGGGACATCTTGGGTAGTTGCTAATCTGTGGGACATCTTGGGTAGTTGCTAATCTGTGGGACATCTTGGGTAGTTGCTAATCTGTGGGACATCTTGGGTAGTTGCTAATCTGTGGGACATCTTGGGTAGTTGCTAATCTGTGGGACATCTTGGGTAGTTGCTAATCTGTGGGACATCTTGGGTAGTTGCTAATCTGTGGGACATCTTGGGTAGTTGCTAATCTGTGGGACATCTTGGGTAGTTGCTAATCTGTGGGACATCTTGGGTAGTTGCTAATCTGTGGAACATCTTGGGTAGTTGCTAATCTGTGGGACATCTTGGGTAGTTGCTAATCTGTGGGACATCTTGGGTAGTTGCTAATCTATGGGACATTCTGGGTAGCTGCTAATCTATGGGGCATTCTGGGTAATTGCTAATCTATGGAACATTTCTGGTAATTGATAATCTGTGGGAGATCTTGGGTAGATGCTAATCTGTAGGACATCTTAGGTAAATGCTAATCTGTGGGACATCTTGGGTAGTTGCTAATCTGTAGGACATCTTAGGTAGATGCTAATCTGTAGGACATCTTAGGTAGATGCTAATCTGTAGGACATCTTAGGTAGATGCTAATCTGTAGGACATCTTAGGTAGATGCTAATCTGTAGGACATCTTAGGTAGATGATAATCCGTGGGACATCTTGGGTAGTTGCTAATCTGTGGGACATTCTGAGTAGTTGCTAATCCATGGGACATCTTGGGTAGTTGCTAATATATGGGACATCCTGCGTAGATGTTAATCTGTGGGACATTCTGGGTAGTTGCTAATCTGTAGAACATTCTGGGTAGTTGCTAATCTGTAGGACATCCTGGGTAGTTTGCTAATCTGTGGGACATTTTGGGTAGTTACTAATTTGTGGGACATCTTAGGTAGATGCTTATCTGTAGAAGAAAACTTTGCTCTCTGCTGCTATAAATGTAACCATTTCAACAGTCCATAATTTTTTTCTGTCAATTTTGTGGCACCAAACATTTTAAAGATTCCTTGTAGAGACATAGATCCTGATTAGATCATTTGGTTCAAGATGGCAGCTGAAAAATCGTCTTCAAAATCTCTATCATGTCACATATGGTTCCATATTCCAGTGTTGTCTCATCTTCCAGCGGGGAATCTGAACTCTGACTGGAATCTGGAACTGGTACGTCATCTTCATGTGGAACAGGTCTTCTAGCAGAACTTAAATCTGGATATATCCAATTTGTATGAATTGTTTATTAATGCAGGCAACACAGAAACAGTCATAAAAGAGGTTCTTGGGCTCTCTCCAAACCATCTATATTCCAGATTTTTTTACATTTTAAAAAGCTTTCCCTTCCTACTGCCACAGGTGTTGAACACATGTTTTGCAAACAATATGAGCAACCCAGAACTTGGCCTGGTCACTTAGTTGTACTTTAAATTCGGCAAAGTAAGCTTTTTTCACAAAAACAGTAATAGACTTTTCATGTTCCTTGTTCAAAGAGCACCGACCACAAGTAGAAAAATAAATCAGATGAAAGAAAACATGCTCTTCTCGAAGTTGACGCCATTCTGTGTTGGAAGTGTCAGAAAATAACTAGCATACTAACATGCCAACAGGGGTTACAATCTAGCAAGAAAAACAAAAAAACAAAAAAAATTCTGGGAAGATTTTTGGAAAACAAAGTAAACAAGCAGTTTCCATTTGAAAGGGAATAGACAGCAATAGTTTTTTTTTTCCACAGAGCCTTATACAGAAAATAAAGTAAAAGTAAGGTCTTTTTTTCCACGCCTTTCAGGTGTATTAGGTATATAGGGCTAGACCTATATTTTATAGACCAAACAGAACATGATGGGTGATGTGGTCAGCTTCATGCTGGCCACCTTTACTTCCCAGGACTGCACCTGGTACCCACTCAAGGCTGGATCGACCTGAAAGCCAAGGTAATTTTTGAAAAAAATCCGGCCCTCGTGAGGAACACAAATCACTGCCTTTCGATCTGCAGGCGAGCAGAAAAAACAGTAATAATATTAATTACATAAAGAAATACCTGTATCTAAAAAACTGAAGCTGCTACAGACAAATAAGTAAACATGATAGATTTAGCAGATAGATTTTGGTCAAAACAAATTGTGTAGTAATTACATACCATCGTAAGTGACAAAAGGAATTGAGAAACCTTTAGCAGTGTTGTTGGCGTTTGATTTGAACTGAATCCAAAGTTTTTTCGATCTAGCTGTAAAAGCAACAGGCCGGTCTCTGCTCTCACAGGTTTCAAATGTACTCTGACTCGATGGGGACTCTGTTCAAGAACAAAATGTAGAATAAAATGAACCAACAGTTTTTCTAGAGGAGAAACATGGAGAAAAATTACAATAATTACTGCTGTATTTTCTTGAAAATAAGGCAGTCTTGTACTGATTTTTCCAGCCTATCAGAAGTAAACAGAATCTGGCCAGAAATGACTACCACTTACTTGACCAGCATGGGCAGGTCATTATTCTACACCTTAGACAGGGCATAGCAACAAACAAATGCACAAGCTTCGTCTGAGTAGTTCAGCATTGTGCCCTTGTGGGCTATGTATGCAGACTACAGAACACATCCTGCAAGAATGTCTCTTGTTCAGCCCATTAAAAAGGGAATACTTGCCCACCGAGTCAACAATAATATAAACATCTTCCGAATAACGGTCTCAAATTATTGAGGCGGAAATTATACCCTAACAGAGCCTCAGTCACGTGTCAACTGCAAACTTCCGGTGACTTAAACTGTGCACTACCAGCGACTTTTGCCATCGCCGAGAGTATCCCCCATTGGGGCTAAACTAGATGGCTGGGACTCAGGAGCAGCAGCTACCGCATCTCCTGCAGCTTCCTTCATTTTATTTGCTCGTGAGTCCCAGCCGCCTAGTTTAGCCCCAGTCCACGCCACTCACGCTCACGTGGCGTGGGTGATACTATCGGCGATGGCTGTATAGTCCCTGGAAGATCGCAATTCGGGGGTGGCGGTATAGTCCCCGGAAGTGCACAATTGACACGTGACTGAGGCTCTGTTAGGGTATATTTTCCGCCTCGATAATTTGGGACCATTATTTGGAAGAGAGCCCAAAGTTGAATGGTCTTAAAGAGGAACTCCAGAATACAGTCAATTTAATCACAAAAACGCTTGAAATACATCTTAGGACTCATGTATCAGTGGTCACTCCAGCCATGTGTATCAGTGGTTACACCAGCCAGGTGTATCAGTGGTTACATCAGTGGGTACATCAGCCAGGTGTATCAGTGGGTACATCAGCCAGGTGTATCAGTGGTTACATCAGCCAGGTGTATCAGTGGTTACTCCAGCCAGGTGTATCAGTGGTTACACCAGCCAGGTGTATCAGTGGTTACACCAGCCAGGTGTATCAGTGGTTACATCAGCCATGTGTATCAGTGGTTACATCAGCCATGTGTATCAGTGGTTACATCAGCCAGGTGTATCAGTGGTTACATCAGCCAGGTGTATCAGTGGTTACTTCAGCTAGGTGTATCAGTGGTTACACCAGACATGTGTATCAGTGGTTACATCAGCCAGGTGTATCAGTGGTTACATCAGCCATGTGTATCAGTGGTTACATCAGCCATGCGTATCAGTGGTTACATCAGCCATGCGTATCAGTGGTTACATCAGCCAGGTGTATCAGTGGTTACATCAGCCAGGTGTATCAGTGGTTACATCAGCCAGGTGTATCAGTGGTTACATCAGCCAGGTGTATCAGTGGTTACACCAGCCATGAGTATCAGTGGTTACACCAGCCAGGTGTATCAGTGGTTACATCAGCTGGGTGTATCAGTGGTTACATCAGCCAGGTGTATCAGTGATTACACCAGCCAGGTGTATCAGTGGTTACACCAGCCATGAGTATCAGTGGTTACATTAGCCAGATGTATCAGTGGTTACACCAGCCATGAGTATAAGTGGTTACATTAGCCAGATGTATCAGTGGTTACACCAGCCAAGTGTATCAGTGGTTACACCAGCCATGTGTATCAGTGGTTATATCAGCCAGGTGTATCAGTGGTTACATCAGCCATGTGTATCAGTGGTTACATCAGCCATGTGTATCAGTGGTTACACCAGCCATGTGTATCAGTGGTTGCACCGGCCATGTGTATCAGTGGTTACACCAGCCATGTGTATCAGTGGTTACATCAGCAAGGTGTATCAGTGGTTACACCAGCCAGGTGTATCAGTGGTTACTTCAGCTAGGTGTATCAGTGGTTACACCAGCCATGTGTATCAGTGGTTACACCAGACATATGTATCAGTGGTTACATCAGCCAGGTGTATCAGTGGTTACATCAGCCATGCGTATCAGTGGTTATATCAGCCATGCGTATCAGTGGTTACATCAGCCATGCGTATCAGTGGTTACATCAGCCAGGTGTATCAGTGGTTACATCAGCCAGGTGTATCAGTGGTTACATCAGCCAGGTGTATCAGTGGTTACATCAGCCAGGTGTATCAGTGGTTACACCAGCCATGAGTATCAGTGGTTACACCAGCCAGGTGTATGAGTGGTTACATCAGCTAGGTGTATCAGTGGTTACATCAGCCAGGAGTATCAGTGGTTACATCAGCCAGGTGTATCAGTGGTTACATCAGCTAGGTGTATCAGTGGTTACATCAGCCAGGTGTATCAGTGGTTACATCAGCCAGGTGTATCAGTGGTTACATTAGCCAGGTGTATCAGTGGTTACACCAGCCATGAGTATCAGTGGTTACACCCTCCAGGTGTATCAGTGGTTACATCAGCCAGGTGTATCAGTGATTACATCAGCCAGGTGTATCAGTGGTTACATCAGCCAGGTGTATCAGTGGTTACATAAGCCAGGTGTATCAGTGGTTACATTAGCCAGGTGTATCAGTGGTTACACCAGCCATGAGTATCAGTGGTTACACCAGCCAAGTGTATCGGTGGTTACATCAGCCAGGTGTATCAGTGGTTACATCAGCCAGGTGTATCAGTGGTTACATCAGCCAGGTGTATCAGTGGTTACATCAGCCAGGTGTATCAGTGGTTACATTAACCATTTGCATTTGTGGTTACATCAGCCATGTGTCACCTGCATTCCTGTGTGGTTAAGGACATTTTTTGGATCTACGCTGCATGAGTTAATAAAGTGCTTTATTGGAAGTAAAATAGACTATGACAAATAAAATCCACTCACGTGACTTTCTCATAACAATCATGTCACCACATCCCTCCTCATCAGCGAGGTCAATCATTGGCAAGATGATAAGAATCCTGCGACTGTTCTCTGGGTTAATCTTCCAGATACATTCCACATTGACTGGATAGTTTCCTGGGAAGTTGGGACTCTCTAGAACACCAAAGTTGTCTCCCATATGATGGCCACACTGCCGATCTGAGACAAAGAAATAGAATATGTGTAGAGGCGGGAGGGGAAAATATGTTTGTTGGTCGCAGTTCCAGCTTCACTGCAGATGGGTCGACCCCCAGTTGCTCTATTCCTGTGTCAGTGAAGAGCATACAGAATGCCCATCCTAGTCACTTTTGCGACTAATTAAACACTCATTAGCATAAAGGACCCTTTTCCACCCTTTCAGGCATAATGGGCATATAGTGCTTGACCAATATTTTGTAGACCAATCAGCTCTCAGTGGGTCATGTGGCCAACATCACACTGGCTGCCTTTACTTCCCAGGATTAGCTGGTACCTATTTAAGACTAGGTCGACCTGGGAGTGAAGGTCATTTTTTGACAAAAGTCTGGCTCCGCCAGGACTGGAACCAATGACCTTTGGATTCGCAAGTGAGGGTCTGGCTGCGACACCAGGACGGCTCCCTGTCAATAGCATAAAAAGGCATTAAATGCTCAAAGTAGCCACTGGAAGTGCCAGCACATACAGTCCACTTCTCAAACTGCAGTTCGTCGTCAATCAAAGCAGCAATTACAACAGATCAGTAGCTGCACATAGAATATTGAATTACACATACAGAAACATTTACAATATCCTGCAGAAACTGAGCAATGAAACTATCATTAGAACAACACAGACATTTACAATATCCTGCAGAAACTGAGCAATGAAACTCTCATTAGATCAACACAGACATTTATAATGCTTCATGGAGCTTGACAATAAGACACATTAGGTTTCTGTTCCAGTTTTGGGCCCTAATTTTGGAGAAAACAATAGACTAACTACCTCTTAACAGCAACAATGGGCTCACTGAATCTGAATTTGTTCAACTGAAAGGCATAGATATTGTGGCCTAGCAGTAAACTACAACATAATGTGCTCTTTTGCAAGAAGAAGAGGCAACAGCAGAAACACTTTAGATCATCACAAACAGTTACAATCTGGTGCAGTTTCTCACAAAGTCAACACAAACTTAACTTTGTGGTGGGTTTGACAAAGAAATAATTGATCAATACAAACCTTTACAATTTTCTTGTATGTTTCAATGAAACACAGAGCATAAATGCAGACATGTATACTATTATGGAGGATTTGATTGTGAGACACATACTAATGCAAACCTTTACAATTTTGTTCAGGGTTAGACAATTAAATATACATAATACCAATAAAAACCTTTAAAATTCTGTGAAGGGCTAAATAATAGAACTTCCATAAACTCAATGCAAACCTTTACAATTCTGTGCAGAGTTAAACATTTAAACGTACATTTAAAAAATGCAAACCTTTACAATTCTTTACAGGGTTAGAAAATGAAACACACATAACATCAGTGCAAACCTTTACAATCTTGTGGAGAAGTTGAGCTTTCAAAATCAGTTGTTGTTCTCCCTGGACAGACGAAACAAAAATCCTGGCCGGCCTCGGGCTGGTAGAATCCTTTAGCACAGGGAAAACACGAATGAGTGCTGGTGTTGTAGTATTGGCCAGCCTCACACACAACTGTCGATTAACAACATCATTATATTCCAGAGTTTTGAGAGTCACAGTAATGAAGTGATGTTAGTTTTGAATCCACATTGAAGCAAATTTTTAAAACTGAGCAGGCTTCCTGGTTGACATAACCTAAAATGAGTACCAAGTGTCTTTGGAAGTCATGGCAGCCAGTATGGTGTTTCCCGTTGGGTCTAATTTCCCATAAGTGTAATTTTCCCAGGCTGTCTAAAGTGACCGGTTTTTTAGACACATAGTTAATTCTATTGGTAGTTTGCGCATGTGTGCAAACATCTAGGAAGTGCCATTCAGCTAAGTTTTTTCAGTGCCAAAATGTTGGATCGTCATGAGCCAGAGGCCCAAGACACAGCAAAGAAAGATCATTAATACAATACCATCGGCAGGTGATCAGCGGGCCGTATGTTAGATCTCTATGGGCCAGATTTCGCTCACAGGTGGCCAGTTGAATAGCTCTGATCTAGGAAGTTGGTATGTGAATACACCAACTTAAAATAGCACTGGGGAAGAGGTCTCCAAGCCAGATAGCTTTTTAAAAGCCAAGTTGATGTCAACTTTTCCTGTGAGCCTCAGTGATAAAGGTCATGCCATAAGTCAGCTGATATATGTTTTTTTAGGCACTGGAATGTATTCCATATATTACCTTGTTTCAGTTTATTAAAAATGTCATCTCGTCTCGTCTCGTTCCCCTCGAGTGCTAGAGGTGCCAGGTTCAATCCCCGGGAAGGATTAGGATTTTTTCACGTGGACTTCTAGTAAATCCCCCCTGGTCTATGGGTGGTGAGATCGGACGCCCGTGTGCATTGCTGCGCACTAAAAAAAATTCCTTGACAGTTGGAAATTGAAAAAAAGTAGCTTAGCGGCGCTGCCCGGGCAAAATCTGGAGTTAAAAATCTACCCAAAGTATTTCACGATCCTCACCAGTACTACAGAGCTTGTGAAAAGTGCTGAGCTTCTTTGGACTCAGACTTGGGTTACAAAAAGAATGGAGCACTTAGGGCTTTCTAGCCATGTGCCATGTTGATCCACTGTTCAAACCTCAAACAGTTTAATAATTACTCTCTTAAAAGATCTTTTGTATATTTCACACAAACAAAAATGTAGATACAATTTTTTAAACGAATTTATAAGTGACCTGTGTAAAGACCATTTTTCATAGAATTCCAACAGGGTCAAGACTCATTTGTTTAGTGTTCCGATGCAAGAGAGTTACACTGTGATGCCCAGCAGCAGAAAACAGATATCGACAGAAGAACTTCCTTTTCTCTCTTCCTATTCTCCCCACAAAATCCTGGAAATTTATACCCATTTTTAGAAACCAGGTTGACCCCTGAACTGTATTGCTCAGCAAAAATACTGCTGATTCTGGGATTTAAAAAAAAGACCATTGTCTGAACAGATAAGTGCACCGAACATGACCACACCATGGCTTTTGTCCAACTTAGTTATAATGACTGAACTCTTTCAGTACCAATCAACTTACTATACGTTCATTGATAATACATATAATACATTTTCTACCTTTTTCATTTCAGTTCTTCTGTTACCGTAATTTGGTTGATTCCATTTGTTATTTCAAACCCTTATGTCCAAAAGTTTTATTGTTTAAGCTCAGTAAGACCTCTAGTTGATTACTGAAAAGTACACACAGTTTATGATGGGAACTGTCAAAGAAACAAATGTCAGGGACTGAAAGCATTAAATATCCTTTTCTTCCCATCCCGGGAATGGCTGGCAGAATGATTGGAAGGCTGAGCTCTCAAGCGGGAGACCCGGGTTCGAATTCTCGGTAAGGCTGGGGATTTTTTCTGTCAGGGACAAAATTAAATCCTCACCTGCACAGATGTGGCGACAGCACTAGCCATGTGGTCGTAAATCTTCAGGCTCATACCCCCCTCCCCCCTTTCCCTCCTGCCTACACCGCAAAAGTGGTTATAAAGGCAATCATTGGTAGTCTTTGGGAATTTCTTGCCATCCCATGAGTGCATTCTGAAAGACTAAAACTCCTAGTGACTCATAAAGAAACTATTTGGGTGAGAATCCAACAGGAGAACATTCCAGAAGCCATGTTTAACCATATAACTTAGTTATATTAGGGTAGTCAATGGTTAGGAAGTAATTATAGGTTGGAGAGAATGATGCAGCTGGGTGTGACCAGAGGGTTTGGCTGACACACTACGCTCAGAGGAAAGGAAAGACGGACATACAACCAGACTACAACTGGCACCATTAGTATTGGAACTCTGCGCTGGCAGCTGAGGATGGGGATGGAGCACATATGGGAAAGACCCGAGTGCTGTGATGTCAATTCTCAACTCAACTCAACTGGTTATGAAGTAATCTGCAGTCTAGTGGTTGGTGGACATCATCTTTTGCTCATTTTGAGCTTGAACCAAAGCAAGCATACGAGAGACTGAACGCTGATTGGCCTGTCATTATTGTTTAAAAGTTAAGGTGCCAGCTGAACGTATTCCAGCATTTGTAACTAATGTTTAACTGTTACTGATGATGTTTATATTATGCAACCTATTAGACTTACAACATTTTTGGATTGTTTATTACTATACTTTAAAAAAAATGTCAGCAATTTAAGCATAATCAGAGCACATTCCAGGTTTGTAATTAAGACGTACATGTTGCAAGCATTGTTTTTATTATTATTAACTACAAAATTATGTACAAATGAACAACTGTAAGCAAGGAGTGGACTGGAAGGGCAGAATATCAGACAGGCCTGCGAGCCCAATTCTTAACCCCTCAAAAATAAAGTTTGTTTGTTTGTTCATTCATTCATAAATAATAATTTACTTAGCTGGAACATTTCTGTCTTTCCTAATGATAGTGTTATGTTATGAGGAGGCATGGGACTCACAGCCTATGGCGATGGAGAGTGCGACTAGCAAGACCTGCCTGAATTAAGAAAAGTCTTCCACAATTATAGCGTGGGATTTCAGCTGTTACCAACATATGTATTTATTGTGTTTGTTTTCAGACACTCAGCTCTTATCCTTTCTGCAATAATGTTTTCTTTCAGTCTCATTCCCTTCTTAAATACCCCCTCCTCACAACACAGTCAAAATAATAATATTAGAGCAGTCTGACCCACCTCTAGTGATACAATCTTTAAAGCCAGTACTGCCAGCCATTTTTGTTTTTAGTCCGGCACCACAAGGTAGACAAGAGGTACTGCCATAGTTTGGCTGGAATGTTCCAGTCTGGCAAACCATGCATGGTTTTTGTCCAGAAAGAGAAAAAGTTCCTGGCTCACATAATTCTGAAAACAAAATATATTTTGATACATTTTAAAAGTATTTGTTTGTTTGTTTGTTCATGACACATTTGCAAATTTTGAAACAATTTCCCTTCACTACCAAATGAAAAGTGTAGTATTAGATTCAGTGGCCAGTTTAATTAGCGTGTGTTTATTACTTTTAAAACACCGAAAATGTATTTAAACTTTATCACTATCATTTCTTTATTAATAGTCAACACACAAAAAGCTTCTATTCAAGAACTTCCTGGAATGGGATATGCCTAGACTGTCATATTTATGGGTCCAACACAAATCTGCTATCATGTGGGCATCTTAAAGTCCATGATATCTTTTCTACTGTTGTTGTATCTTGGTGAAATCTTTCACCATGTTCCTCGTGGACATCACCAACACTCTTAGGAAAGGAGTGTAAACAAAAAAAACATGGTTATTGTAGTAGTGCAATTTTATGCTCATGCTGCATCCAAGCTTATTAAAACTCAACAACAGGTTTCCAACTAATTTAGAATTCCGGTCTGCTTCAAAGTCACCCAGAAAATGTTGGCCAACTAAAACAAATGAGGACCAGGCTGTGGACTCTATTGTTCATGAAATCAATACTGTTTGAATCAATGATTGATTTTCTAATGTGAAGTCTATAAAAAATTCCAGCTTTTTAAGTTTGTCTATGCTCAATTTCTTTGTGCAGTCAGTAATTAAAACACAGATCCTCTTTGTTCAGTGTCTCAACAAACTGCTTCATCAAGCCAAGCTTTATATGGAGTGGTGGCAGTAGAACTCTTGCTTTTTTTTTAATCAATGCGAGGCTTGTTGAAAATAATTGTTTCTCCAACTTTAAATTCATCCCTCAAACCTACTGTTTCTTTGCCCAGTGCATATTTTTTGCCTTGCTATTCTACAAACATTTAGCATGTATATTTAGTAAATCCCTTTTTCTAGCCAAGCAAGAAGTTCATAATTTTAAGATTTATACAAACCATCCAGTAAGGTTTTCAATTATTAAATTTTTCCAGAACTGTGCTTATTCTAGTACACTCTTCCTTCATTGTAGTAGAAAGAGCATCGGGAATTGTGCTTTATTTGTTACCATTGTGTAAGAGAACACTTTTAACACTTCTTTTAAAGCTTTCAATGAAAGGTCACCACTCATCTGGTGTATCACTTACATCCACTTTATTTATATGACTTCCTAAATAAGCACAAAACACAAGATTGTTCACAAAAGAATGGAAAAAATCTGGCTCTTTGCAGTGATAAAATGTAGCCTCTGTTTCAGCAGTCAGTAATTGTTTCTTTCAATTTTTAAGCCAAAAGTTCTGAAGAGTTCTTGGAGAGATATAGATCTCAGAATAGATTATTCAGTTTAAGTTCACTGAAGCACTGGGCCACTGAAAAATCATCTTTGAAATCACTATCACTGACAAATGTCATCTGACATGCCACTGCTTCCGCACCTTTACGTAGGAAATCCTAAATCTGACTACAATTTGGAATTGGCATGTCATCTCCCTGGTAGCAGGTCATCTACCAGAATCTAAACAAATTCCAGTGAATCAAGCGGTGAAGAAGAGATTTCGGCATTGGACAGGACACATTAAAAAAACCTGAGAACAATATAACCAAAATGTCTTTGCATTGGAACCCACAGGAACATAGAAAAAAGGCAGACCTAAATACACAAGGAGAAGGGAGCTAGAGGGTGATGTTAAAAAGATTGGGAGAACATTGACTGAGTTAGAAATTGTTAGGGCCCTTTGGGAGCAAGTGAACAATGAGGAGGTGCACATAAATCATGATAGTCTAAGGAGAATGGCGCTTAAAGGAGTTACCAGGGGATCTGGCCAATGCTAAACACCCAGTAGAAGGATGAGACGGATATACAATCAGACAGTTACTCAAACCATCGGAATAGCAACTCTTCGCTTGCTGCTGAAGATGGGGACTGAGCACTTTAGGGAGTGTACCGAGTGCTGTGATGTCGATTCTTAATTCAACATTCAACATTTGACTGAGTGGCAGCAATAGCAAAAAATCAGACGTTCTAGCATGGGCTAGTTGATGGCCTATGCTCTATTGGAGGAGGAGGATGATGATGATGGTGGTGATGATGGTGGTGATGATGATGGTGGCGGTGGTGGTTTGCTGAAAAAAATTAACTGTCACGTTCAACCAGCATCTCTGAAGCTGGAGCTCTCGGTTATAATTGTGACTAGGTTATGTGCACCATATAAAATGGTACAGCAATGAACGCCACCAAGAGCTCTGAAAAGGACTCCTGCCATGTTGATACAATCAAAGGAGACAGACCCAAATACTGTCCCGACTGGCGACAAAGTCGTCTATTGGCGAGCTTTTGGGCGACTTAGTTGCCAATGTGTATTGGAGAATACAGGGCAGAGAAAAAGGGTCCTCGCCGCCCCCCCCCCCCCCCCCCCCCCCCCTTTTCAACCCCCATGGAAAATATAGCACTAAAACCCATAGAGAAAAACTGGCTGTTATGATTTTCCCTATTGAGAAACAGTCCAAACCCCCTGTGGCAAAGAGAAGACAATCTGATTACTGATAACTGATTTAAGAATCGACACCATAGCACACACCGGGCATACCCATAGATGCTCCGTCTCCCGCAGCATATGTCTTGAGGTGTAGATGCTAACTGTCCTTCTTCTACTCCTACTATCATTTTCTGTGAGTATTGAAGTCAGAGCACGATCACCGTAGCTCCTGCGGAGACAATCACCATCCACAAGAAGAAATATATCAACAGTACCAAAAACCTACCATTGCATTGAGACTGCCTGGTTGCTCCTGACACCCCTGATCCAGGCTGCTGGTTGGGACATTCCTTACAGGAGAGCTGTCCCTCCTCATCTTGGAATGTTCCACGAAAACAGGGACTACATGTACGGCTTTTTATATTGAAGAAAGTCCCTAGTGTACAGGCAACTGTAATATATGGAAGGTGTTATCTGGTATAAATTCATCATGATCATCATCAGTTCTCGTTATGCCTAGTGGGACATGAGGCTTCAGAGATGACTTTTCATGCTTTCCTGTCCTGTGCAATCTTCAGTGCAGTTTTCCATGTCAAATATGCTGCACTCAGGTCACTTTCCATCAGTCGTCTCCATGTTGTTTTTTGGGTGCCCCTGTTTTCCCTTTCCCTCTGATGTCCATGTGAGAGCTATTTTGGCAGGTATATCAGAAGTCATTCTCAAAACGTGGCCAAGCCATTTCCATCTCCTCTTGGTAATCATACTGTCTACAGTTTCTTGGTTTGTGGCTTGAAGTAGTTTAGTGTTTGAGATGGTTTCTGGCCAAAAAATTTTGATATAAAGACAGACAAAGCTAAAATAGGATATACACATTAAACTATATTTGGACATTTGTAGCTACATAAGAACTGTGTAGCTTATATAAGAACATATGTAGCTAAATAAGGACTGTGTAGCTTATACAAGGACATATGTAGCTAAATAAGGACTGTGTAGCTTATACAAGGACATATGTAGCTAAATACGGACTGTGTAGCTTATACAAGGACATATGTAGCTACATAAGGACTGTGTAGCTTATACAAGGACATATGTAGCTAAATACAGACTGTGTAGCTTATACAAGGACATATGTAGCTACATAAGGACTGTGTAGCTTATACAAGGACACATGTAGCTAAATAAGGACTGTGTAGCTTATACAAGGACATATGTAGCTAAATAAGGACTGTGTGGCTTATACAAGGACATATGTAGCTATATAAGGACTGTGTAGCTTATGCAAGGACATATGTAGCTACATAAGGACTGTGTAGCTTATACAAGGACATATATAGCTAAATAAGGACTGTGCAGCTTATACAAGGACACATGTAGCTAAATAAGGACTGTGTAGCTTATACAAGGACATATGTAGCTATAAAAGGACTGTGTAGCTTATACAAGGACATATGTACCTACATAAAGACTATGTAGCTTATACAAAGACATATGTACCTACATAAGGACTGTGTAGCTTATACAAAAACATATGTAGCTACATAAGGACATGTTTAGCTAATACACAGTCATATGTAGCTAGATAAGGACCTGTGTAGCTTTAACAAAGACATGTGTAGCTACATAAGGACATGTGTAGCTAATACACAGTCATATGTAGCTACATTAGGACCTGTGTAGCTTAAACACAGACATGTGTAGCTATATAAGGACCTGTGTAGCTTAAACAAATGAAAAGTGTAGCTATATAAGGACTGTGTAGCTATATAAGGACACATGTAGTTAGGGTCCTTCTGATATTTTCTACAGGTCATGCTGGTGTGTTGAAAAACGAGCAGGCAAATAGACTGGCCGGTTCTGCATCACTTGGTGATGAACTGATGTATGACAAGCTGGATGTTTTGAGGGCTCTTTAGGAGCGAATGAACAGTGTTGAGGCACAGAGAGATCATTATGGTCTGAGGAAAATGGCCCTGTGGGGAGTTACCAGGGAATTTGGCCGACGCTCAACACTCAAGGGTAAGGTGAGATGGATGTACAATCATATAGTTACTGGTACCATCAGAACTGGTACTCTATGCTTGCTGCTGAAGATGGGAGCTGAGCACTTATAGAAGTGTCCCGAGTGCTATGATGTAGATTCTTAGCTCAACAATCAACAAGGACATATGTAGCCATATAACATCATTTGTAGCCATTTGAGGAATATGTGTAGCTAAAGAAGACATAGTTAAAGGATGTAGCTATAATATGTATATGTAAACAGAGTGCAGCAAGACCTCTTCTACTGCACTCACACATTATGTTGTGATTTGCAGCTAGGCTGTGATATCTGCCCCTTGTGGCCCAACAATCTGATTTCAACAAACTCCTAACTAACTAGCTGTGTTGTATAGCATCCTTGTCTGTTCCCCCCAGCCCCCTTTTGCCCCCAACATTTCCTTCAGTGTTAAAGTACATCTGCCTGTGCTGCAAGGAACCAACAGTCTGCATAAAAATAAGCCAGATCTGTAAAACATGTTTGCATGCAACTATCTTAAGTCTTGAAACAAGACAAAAGTTCAGAAATGGACAAACAACTGGAGCTTTGTGTCAGAGGTCACAGCTGGTGAATGCTAAGATAAAAAAGAAGTGAAGATGAACAAACGAACAAACTAACTTTATTTTCAAAGAGTCACAAATTGGGCATGCAGACCTGTCCTACATTCAGCCCTTCCAAACACCCATCTTTCACACAGCAGTTGTATTTTATCAATAAAGCATTTTATGTAAGGTTGAACACCAAGGACTTCCTACAGAATTTGACACCAGATGAATGCAGAAATGAAGAAAATTACCCACACACACAAAAAAAGGGTACTCACTACAAGTATTATTAATGATCTGCATGCCGTCTGCACACAATTCTTTGACATTTTTGTCCAGCTTGAGGCTTTTCTTAACTGGCTTGAATTCAATGTCGTTGAAACTGTGAAGAAAAATGCTCTAAATCTGGGTTTCTTTTTTACTTTCTAGAACAGAAAAAGGTGCCAGTACTCACAAAAAGATGCTGGTACTCTCCTCCTCCTTTTTCTTCTTCTTCTTCTTCTTTTTCTTCTTTTTCTTTGTGTTCACGGGCTGTGGAAAGCTCTGGTTATTTATCCACTTCTAAATCTTAGTCTTGTTGCAGAATTTGAGTTTTGCATGCACATCTGTTTTATAGATCTGGTTCACTTGTATGCAGACTGTTGGTTCCTTGCCTCTCAGGCAGATGCACTCTTACTTCAAAGGAAACCTCTAATTAGTCAACCCTTATGGCATACTTGTTTGGGAGGTAGTGGGTCTATTCTTTTCTCCCCCACAATTGGATCACAGAACCAACATGGCGAAGAGGTGGTAGTAATAAGCACAAAGTGCTGAAAATCATAATGCTTCAAAATAAAATAATAATTTAAAAAAGATGCAAGTGAACCATCAGAAGAAAGCCTTGCTACAATTACACATGCGTGTAAGAGTGAAAACTCTCTCAGGAGAACAGTTAGTAGTTACTGCCTATGGAACAAAAAAGACTAAAAGATAATAAAATAACCACAATCTAGTAAAACACAGACCACTAAATGTTGTATGAGAATTGCAGAATATACTTCATATAGTTTTCAATGCAAATGTTGCTGAGTTGTCTATCTAGCTGAGTTATTTATTCTTGGCAGCCTTTTGTCACTCTTAGGAAGAACAAAGTTTCTGCTGTTGGAGAGTTATTGTCGTACAACCTCCACATGAAGTAGCAGCTGGCCGGGTGGTTAGAGCACATGGATCCCATGTGGGAGACTAGATTTCAGCCCTCAGTAGGGAATATGGACGTTTTTTCTGTTAGGGGCAAATTAAAAATAATTGTAACCCCTGCACAGTTCATGGCGACAAGAGAGCTGCTGTTACCACCTCCACCTCCATTCTCATGATAGATGTTGTGGTGTCATGTGCCAGACTGTCTTGCCCTAAAGATTTTCAACTGGCTTTTGCTACGAACCGCCAGGCACTTCGCTTGCCTCGCAACACAGAACCAAAGAAAGCCAATGTTATGGGTTTATGATGACATGGCGTCTTTAAGCAGTGGCGTAAACGATGATGTAACAGCCTAGGTACTGGTTGAAACTGCATAATATGCAGACATGATTATATTTAAAGAAAGACAAAAAGCCGGACTTTCCATATGGAAAAAAAAAATAGTTTGCCTTCTTTTCTTTCATTGGATGGACTGACCTATTACCTGCAAACATCCTTAAGGTTTGAGGTTTTGAACAACGGATCAACATCATGGCACTGGGGTGTAACCATTAAGTGCTCCCGTTCTTCTTCTTACTCAAGTCTGAGTCTAAAGAAGCTCAGCACAGTGCACAGGCTCTGCAGCACTGGCGAGGATTCTGAAATACTTTGGGTAGATTTTTAACTCAAAATTTTACCCGGGCAGTGCTGCTAAGCTACTCTTTTCGATTTCCAACTGCCATGGGATTTTTTACATGCACAACAATGCACATGGGCGTGTGATCTCACTACCCAGAGACCAGGGGGAATTACTAGTCCAAGTCCACGTGAAAAAATTCAAGCCCTTACCGACCGAGACCTTAACTTAGACATCATTTACAGCACACTTAGTAAAATTCATCTATCCATTTATGAAAAACAACACACACAAATCGACTACGTTCAACCTACTGTGAGCAGGATCACTGCTTTCTGTGTGGTTTACCACACTCCGAACATGAGACTTTTGAGAATCACAGAAGCCATAACAATATAAATTGTGCAATGTATTGTTTGTATCCGCATTATTTAAATTGCCTTAGTTGTTCTCCATGTTTCCGCCCCATTCAAAAGTACTGATTTGACATTAAAAATAAAAATTTTAAGTTTAGTATTTCTTTTAATTTCTTTTGGCCTCCACAAATTCCCTAGGGCTATAAAAGCTGCTCTTGCTTTTTGTAGAAAATAAGCTATAGTTTATAATTATTATTATTCTCAAAGTCCATGCCGTGTGGCCTTGGCAGTCATGTCTATCCACAACCTTCTGAAGTTGATCCTCTATGCCATGATGTCAAACCGTCCAGCATCTTTTCTCTCAGTCTCCCTCTGCCTCTCCTCCAACTTTCCTACTGTCATGATGTACTTGTTTTCTTCTTCCCATAACATGACCAAAGAATGTTGATTGTCTCTTTCTGATATGGACAATCAGTTCTCTTTATAAATATTAGAATCACAAAGAGGATTTCATTCTGCAGTTGAAGATGTTTTATTTTTTAAAGAAAAAAATGAAATTCCAGACTTTTTGAATTTGTTCAGAGGTTCACCAAATGGGAAACACTGACTAAAAGTGACAATTCTAAGTAAATGGGAAACACTGACTAAAAGTGACAATTCTAAGTAAATGGGAAACACTGACTAAAAGTGACAATTCTAAGTAAATGGGAAACACTGACTAAAAGTGACAATTCTAAGTAAATGGGAAACACTGACTAAAAGTGACAATTCTAAGTAAATGGGAAACGCTGACTAAAAGTGACAATTCTAAGTAAATGGGAAACACTGACTAAAAGTGACAATTTTAAGTAAATGGGAAACACTGACTAAAAGTGACAATTCTAAGTAAATGGGAAACACTGACTAAAAGTGACAATTCTAAGTAACATATAATACATTTAATAACATAAAACATGTGTCAATAAGTAAGCAAATATGTACCTTACTGAATATTTTTGTTGTCTGACTGCACGTTTGAACTTCTGCAACATTCTGTTGAGAATCTGCAAACTGCGCTTGGCTGTGCAGACAACATCACATCTTCCTGCAGAAGTTAACAGAAGGGAGCTAGAAGTGATCAGCAAGAGTTTTGCTGAATATTTCAGAGAATTTCTGAAACTGACAAACACACATAAATATGTGATGTGTCGCACCTTTTCTTTATTACCGGAGGATGTGAGGGATCTATAGATGTGAAGGATCTATAGATGTGAGGGATCTATAGATGTGAGGGATCTATAGATGTGAGGGATCTTTTGATGTGAGGAATTTAAAAAAGTGAGGGATCTATAGATGTGAGGTATTTAAAGATGTGAGGGATCTATAGATGTGAGGGATCTATAGATGTGAGGGATCTATAGATGTGAGGGATCTATAGATGTGAGGAATCTATAGATGTGAGGGATCTATAGATGTGAGGGATCTATAGATGTGAGGGATCTATAGATGTGAGGGATCTATAGATGTGAGGGATCTATAGATGTGAGGGATCTATAGATGTGAGGGATCTATAGATGTGAGGATGTGAGGGATCTATAGATGTGGGGGATCTATGAATGTGAGGATGTAAGGGATCTATAGATGTGAGGATGTAAGGGATCTATATATGTGAGGGATCTATAGATGTGAGGATGAGAGGGATCTATAGATGCCAGGATGTAAGGGATCTATAGATGTGAGGAATCTATAGATGCGAGGATGTAAGGGATCCATAGATGCGATGGATCTATAGATGCGAGGATGTGACTAATCTATAGATGTGACGATGTAAGGGATCTACAGATGTGAGAATGTGAGGGATCTATAGATGCGAGGATGAGAGTAATCTACAGATGTAAGGATGAAAGGGATCTATAGAAGCGAGGATGTAAGGGATCTATAGATGTGAGGATGAGAGTAAACTACAGATGTAAGAATGAAAGGGATCTATAGATGCAAGGATGTAAGGGATCTATAGATGTGAGGATGTAAGGGATCTATAGATGTGAGGATGAGAGTAAACTACAGATGTAAGAATGAAAGGGATCTATAGATACAAGGATGTAAGGGATCTATAGATGTGAGGATGTAAGGGATCTATAGATGTGAGAGATCTATAGATGTGAGAATGTGAGGGATCTATAGATGCAAGGATGAGAGTAATCTACAGATGTAAGGATGTAAAGGAATCTATAGATGCAAGGATGTAAGGGATCTATAGATGCGAGGATGTAAGGGATCAATAGATGTAAGGATGTTTATGCATTTATGCTTTAATACCAGAGGATGTGGGTGATTTATAACATTAGAGATGTGAGTGAGGTAAGAATGTAGGTGTTGTAGGTATGTGAGTGAGGTGGGGATATGAGTGAGGTAGGGATGTGAGTGAGGTAGAGATCTCAGTTAGATACTGATGACAGTGAAGTAGGGAAGTAGAGATATCAATGAGATAGGAAAGTGAGTGAGGTAAGGATGTCAGTGAGACAGGGATGTATGTGAGGTAGGGATGCTGGTGTGGCAGGGCTTTGGGTGAGGTACCGACACCTTTTTAGGTATAGCAGGATGCCAAAGAGCAACTTGTCCAGCGTGAGAAGGGTCTCTGTGTGTTCTTGGCTCGTGCTGTCAGTTGCTCTGCCACTGTGTGACAGCATGTTGTCCGCAGTGCAGGTGCGGCAGACTAAAAAATGAGCCGAGAGAGAGATGGGATTGTCTGACTGATTACCGTGTTCGTACCTTTCAATAGTTAGTTACGGTGTTAGATCTCAATTTCTTCCAGTAGTTAAACTGTGATAGATATAGATATCAGTGTGTATCATCGCTCTGAGATATCTGATTTCAGGTCGCTAGAGGCGGACTTTCACCTTTGCTAGACGAAGTGCCTAGCACAGGGCCTGTGTGATAATGATTGTTAATATAATGTTATCTTTGAAGCACTTAGTTTTGTTGTCAAGTAAATAAACAGATGTTGAATGTGATGGTTATATTCATTTGCTGGATTCAAGATAGAACTTGTAGTTCATGCACGTGGTCTCTTTAGATGTTTCCTTTGTAGTTGTAATCGTGGATTGTTGTTATTGTTGTGTAGCTCCTTTTTCACAATATCCAGGTTAAAAATGGAGGTGAAGGGGGTCACTGCAGTTTTCTGCTGGTTAGAGAACATCACACACACACACACACACACACATCTTGATTGTAACTGATCAGAAAGCATGCTGAGGAAGATCAGGACAGGCATGCTTCGTGCAGAGTGGCATGCTTCGTGCAGAGTGGCATGCTTCACTGTGGAGGACACGGGTGAGGAGTATTGTCTGGATTTTTTCACCGGGATACGCCAGTGTGTTGAGAAAGGAACAGGCGGACAGACTGGCTGGCTCTGCACAACTTGGTGGAATACTGATGCATGATAGGGCAGATGTGGTTAGTGCCTTGTGGGAGAGTGTGTACAGTTCGGAGGAGCAGATGGATCACCACTGTCTGGTGAGATTGATGTGGCAGGGAGTGACGAGAGAGAGGTTCCGGCAAATGCTTGAGGCTCAGAGGAAAGGCAAGATGGACGTTTAATCAGAATGCTACTGGCACCATTAGTATCGGAACTCTTTGCTGGCTGCTAAAGATGGGGATGGAGCGCTTATGGGAATGCTTGAGTGCTGTGATGACGGCTTTTGAATCAACTCAACTCATTATTCACATATCCTCTGCCTGGGTTATGATCTTATTTCATGGCTCCTGCAGAGAAGAACCTTTGTCTTTTACTTTTGCTGTTCAGCCAGGAACTACTTATTGTTCTTACATTTTCTTTTCCTTTTTATTTTCCTACTTCTTGTTTTTTTTTCCTTTTACCGCTAGCACATAGGCATAATTGTTTTCAGTGCTACTGTAATAGACATTCTGTGGTTTATAACACATGGACATCTTTTTAACTCTTTGAGGACTAATCGCCAGTTAACTGGCTTTTAAATTTTTCCTGATCTGACTATTCACCAGTATACTGACAAATCATAGAGACACTACAATTTTGTTCTGTCTGCAGGGAAAAACAAATTTTTATGAAAATGTTTTGAAAAACTAGGATTAGCAAAAGGAAGTCCTTTTGTGTGTGATGTTCCATGTGGCTTTCACATCACTTTCTGATTTGTAACAAATTATTTAGATGTGATACAATTTTTACAGGATTTTTCTATATCAAATGTTAGGGGAAAAGGTCTAGAACTGTTTACACTGCTCTGTCATTGATGAACTTTTGCCAGATGTGACAGTAGACGATATTATGTCTGATATCTAAGTGAAAAGCCTATTGGTAATAATTTAGTTTAGGATATGAAAATTGAACACAATATTTTAATCGGATTATCTGTTTTGATCAACTGTTTTCCCGATTTTTGGTTGCTGTGAAATCTGACATGTCATACAAAAATGATCATAACATCCAAAGCATTTAAATTGTTTCAAATAAAGACTAGCTGATATATAATTGAACAAAGAAGGCATGTCAATTCTAAGAATTGGATAGCAGAGTTGTTGAACAAGTAAAAAAAAAAAGTAAGGTGGCACAACAATTTTTATGTAAATAATCTTCTTATGTTTACCCTGCCACAAATTACCTGACGGATGTTGAGAGTTCAAATGAAGCTCAAACTCCGCTGTGATGAGAGACTTTCTGTTGTGACGAATTAGTTTTCTGAATTTTTTCCTTCTTGTGCCACACATAAGGTCCACTGAATCAACACTGCATCTGTTTTTGCACATGAATTTTTTATCATCTGAAATCAGTAAAAACATACCAGACATTCAACATTAATATTCTAATTTTCTGAAATAGGGAAACTGTCTTTATGGGTGCTATTTATTATCCCTTGGTGGAAGGGGGGGGGGGGGGGGGGGGGGGGGGGGGAAAGGAGGCCTGAGTACCTAAAGCTGAATGGCTAGTGCAGTCACATAAAATGACTATTAGCAAATGACTATTCAGTGTGTGGTATTATGAGTTGCCATCTGCTCATAGAGAATGTCTTTTAGAATAGTTCTAACTGGCACTGACGTTCTTAAACACCAGTTTTCTCAATACAGTGCAGCTTTGTACCTTTTTTTTCTCAACCTTCTTTTAAATGATGGCTTTAGTTAGGGTTTTACAACAGAACATCTGGGAGGAAGGCGAGAGGAAGTCCAAGAAAATATAGATAAATGGTGTAGCCAAAACCTACAAAAAAAGATGAACAAATCCACCACCTAAGCCACCTGAGAATTGCAAGGCACATACAGAAAACCACGACACTGGGCTACAACCTGGTATCAATGAGAGGACACAACCACGACACTGGGCTACAACCTGGTATCAATAAGACGACAACAGAAAAAGAAGAAGAAAAAGAAGAAGAAGTAAGAGTTAAAACAGTTGTACTCACAATTAAACATATGTGTCAAGTTTTGTTTCATATCTTCTACATCTTGTTTTTCAATATCACATGAGTCTCCAATAAAAACCAATCTGGCATGTCTGCTGTAACCTGGGGCAGCAATGTTTTCTGTGGACGGAAAAAATAAATAAATATTTATTCATGACTAAATTAACCACATTTTATATTGTTAGTGACTGTGTGATTGGAAAATAAAGACGCATTAGCAATACAGAGATTAAACAGCATTAAGAATCTATGGCAAAACACCTGTGAATTAGTTGAAGTACAAATCTTGAAATCATGCATTTTTTCTGTGGCAACTTATTGTTGTGAGTCCGGGACTCTCACTCAGTCACAGAGGAAAAAGATTGGAGCTTTTGAATTAAAATTTTACAGAAAAATTCTCAGAATATCATGGACCAAGAAAAGGAAAAACAGGCATTCTACAGGAGGTAAACACCAAAGGGGAACTGGCTCATAAACAGTATCCTGTCCCAAAAGTTGTATTTTGGCTACATCAAGTGTCATGGTGACTTGGAAAAGACGTTGATGGAGGGTGCCGTTTGTGGAAAGTGAGGCAGGGGTCGACCACCGTGAAGATGGATACAGGACATTGAAGATGCATTGGCACTGAAAGCACACGGGGCTGGAGAGCTGGCTTGGAAAAGGGATACTTTCAGGCACACCATGAGGACAGCGATGTTCTGTAAAGGACTTGCTGACTGATGATGATTTCAAAAGAGTTAGAGTGATACTTCAGATATATTGCTTCAAAGAAACTAAAGATGAATAAAAAAATTATAAGTGAGGGAAATAGTGTAACAATTAGACAATGGCAGAAATAGTTAAAGAGGTTGTGGACAGACATGACAACCAACGCCTCATAACAAGAACTATAGGAGGAAATCAAAGTGTTCAAACATCAGTGTGATGGCTGACAATGTTCTGTCTTGATGATATCAGCTATTTTTTGCCTGATTTGGACAAGGCACAATGCAGATCACTCTCCACACAAAGTTTAAAAGAAAAAACTCAATAATTAAAAAGAAGAAAAAATGCGATCAATTTCAAAATTTCTTGATGCCTCCTTGGAACGTCCTTGCACCCCCCTCCCCCCAGTGACCTACTTTAGATAGCAGTGGAGGTGAGGATGACAAACAATGTTAATGATAACAATAATTATAAAAATGATAAGTGCTTTGATAATGATGATATCTCGTGGCCACAAGCCATAGCCGTCTCAGTACAATTTTAATTATTCTCACATAAGTACAATTTTCATAATTCTCACCTAAAAAATTTTTAATGATTCTCACATAAGTACAATTTTCATAATTCTTACCTAATACAATTTTAATTATTCTCACATAAGTACAATTTTCATAATTCTCACCTACAAAAATTTCAATGATTCTCACATAAGTACAATTTTCATGATTCTCACATAAGTACAATATTCATAATTCTCACCTGAGTACAATTTTCTTGATTCTCACATAAGTACAATTTTCATAATTCTCACCTGAGTACAATTTTCTTGATTCTCACATAAGTGCAATTTTCACAATTCCCACATAAGTGCAATTTTCATGATTCTCACATAATTACAATTTTCATAATTCTCACCTGAGTACAATTTTCTTGATTCTCACATAAGTGCAATTTTCACAATTCCAACATAAGTGCAATTTTCATGATTCTCACCTAATACAATTTTCATGATTCTCATCTAATACAATTTTCATGATTTTCATCTAATACAATGTTCATGATTCTCACCTAACTGCATATTCAGGGCAGCTATTTGTCACTTTATAATATAACATAGGCACACATGTGAATTCCTACTCCAAATAGATCAGAATGAATGGTTACTTTTCAAGGAACTAACACAACTTTGATTTTTCAGGGAGATCTGACCGTTCAAACATGATTTTCTCAAAACAAGGATTAAGTACTTAGACAACTTGATTTAATGCTAACAAAATGTAAGCAATGATAGCAAATTTCTGATGATTAAATGATGTACAGTATTGTTTGATGGAAGATTGTACAAAGATGGAAAAGAAAGTTCCCTATCTGAAGTTATTTTAAAGGAATGAGCAAGGTCATGAGGAACATCACATTTTTATTTTTATCTTAGTGTTCAAACAGGCAACTGTCATATTGTAGTGGCCTGACACTTGCCTGCAGTCAAAGGTCATGAGTTCAAACCCAAACGGAGCTGGCCTTTTTTTCTCTAAAATGACTTTGTCTCTCAGACTGACCCAGCCTTAAATGAGTACCAGGTAAAGTCCTGGGAAGTAAAGGTGACTGGCGTCATGGTGACCACATCGCCCACCGAGCGCTGATTGGTCTCTAAAATATAGGTTTAGCACCCCATGCACAGTTCACCTGGTGGTGTGTAAAAGGATCGTTTACTTTTTACTTTTTCTTCAAACACAATTTTCACAAAACAAAGATTTGACACTTAGGGGACTTCGGCGCAGCATATGCAAACAAAGTGAGAACATCAAAATAATGTTTTCCTGCTGTGAATGTAAACAAAGAACACACAAACAACAGTTTGCACAATTTATTGCAGGGCATATTTCTCCGTATCTCACCAGGTGCATGCTACAGTAACAACTGATTAAAATGAAACAAATAAATGAATCCTTGCAACTGAAACACAGAATCAACCACATTCAAAAACTGTCCATTACACAAGAGTAAATGCAAGGTAAAATTCAAGATAATGCTCGCTCAGAGGATTTGATCATTTACACAGACGGTTCAGTGTAAAGAGGCAAAAGAAGTGCTTGGGGCTTCTTAGCAAAAGTTACTGGTCGACGTTTGGTGCAGGAGAGGTTAGCATATGATACCACAACATCCAGCTTAAGAATGGAGGTGGAGGCAGTCACTGCAGCTTTCCGCTGGCTAGAGAACATGACACACACACACATTGGGATTGGAACTGATTCAGAAAGCATGCTGAGGAAAATCAGAACAGGTATGCTTCGTGCAGAGTGGCATGCTTTGCTGCGGAGGACACGGGTGAGGAGTATTGTCTGGATTTTTTCACCGGGACACGCCGGTGTGTTGGGAAATGAACAGGGGGCAGACTGGCTGGCTCTGCACAACTTGGTGGAATACTGATACATGATAAGGCTGACGTATGTAATGCCTTGTGGGAGAGTGTGTACAGTTCGGAGGAGCAGATGGATCACCAGTCTGGTAAGATTTATGCAGGGGGGAGTGACGAGAGGTTCTGGCAGATGCTCGAGGCTCAGGGGAAAGGCAAGACGAACGTTTAATCAGAATGCTACTGGCACCATTAGTATGGGAACTCTTCGCTGGCTGCTGAAGATGGGGACTAAGCACTTATGGGAATGCCCCGAGTGCTGTGATGTCGGTTCTAGAATCAAATAAAATTAGTTGATTAAAATGAAACAAAAAAATGAATCCTTACAACTAAACACAGAATCAACCACATTCAAAAACTGTCCACTACACCAGGGCAAATGCAAGGTTAAGAGCATGAGAACAGATACTACACCTGAACAGTGAGGTAATCCACCTGTCCCCAGGTCCATCCATTCATAATTTGTGCTCGGCCCACATCTGAAGGAGATAGAAGTGCTGTTTAAAAGACCACTCCGATTGGTCAGTTGGGCTTTTCTCTCACAGGTCATAGTGCAGTGTTGTTCCTGAGGCCCCTCATACATGCAGGACAACACCGAATTGGGCTGCTGAACTAGCGATATGCATTTTCTCTCATCTGAAAAGCACAATTGTGTTATTTCTTTCATCACAGTTTTTGGACAACTTTTAACTTACTGTGTCATGTCTGAAAACATCTATACTGATTTATTTAGTTTAAACAAAACTGTTACAAGTTAATTCTATCAGCCTCAGATGGTTTCAAAGTAGAACCCAATCTGGCACAATAATCACAGTGAAAAAGGCAGCAGTATATGGCTTTCAATGATATAGCTAGTTCTGCATTGCATTCAGAATATTTGGCCAGATTTCTTGTGCATACCCAGACCAAACAAGAAATAAATAATGCAATACCATATGTTGCGTTGATGCAGAACACATGGTGCGTTGTTTAAGACATAAAGAGCTAAAGTTAAAATCAAGAGCACTGACTTCATTGCACTGGGTTTTACACAATATGGCTCAGTCTCTCTCAAGAGAATGGCTGGCCATCTGGTGAGAGTGTTAAACAAAGCACACATTTCATAGAACTAGAGATATCAGCAAAACTGCACCAGTAAATTAAACTGTGAATGAATTCTTGACTTTCAGAGCGTGAGGCAAACAGTTTGACCACTTGCCACGGAGACACTCAATTAATTTATACAATATAATGACAACTTTCAATTCATCAGTTCCCAGATTTTTTTAACCACATTTTATTGTTTTAAAACATTATATTGTTTCAACACATTATATTGTTTAACACATTATATTGTTCAACACATTATATTGTTTAACACATTATATTGTTTTAATACATTATCCCATATCTGAAAAAATAAATTAAATTGATTTATTCTGTGTAATTTTCAGACAAATTTTACTTCATTATCTTGCATGAGAAAAAATGCAGTTATATTAATTTTCCAGACTGAAAATATTCCACGGTATGAAATGTTCTTTTTCTTTGCAACCACCAGCTGTAAGCTCAGGCAGAAAGTCTTGGCTGCTTATCCATGTTTGGCCTTGTTCTGGGACTTATGTTTTGTGTGTAGATCAGTTTTACAGATCTGGTTTATTTGTGTGCAGATGGTTGGTTCACTGCCCCTTGGGCAGATGCACTTTGACTTCAAAGTAAACACTCTTAACCAATCATCTTTTACAACATGCTTGTCCTGGGGACAGTGGATATATTCCGACTGCCCAGCCCCCCCCCCCCCCCCCCCCCACCTCAGAGACAACATTTTGAATACCTGATTACCAGGTTAGCATAAAAGCATGCTAAAACAGCTCCCAATCCTGTCCTGATTCTAATAATCAACAGTTCTCTTTGTTAGATGCAAGAAATGTATAATCTAGAAATGCATAAATCAGAAATGCACAAACCAGAAATGTAAAAACCAGAAATTTATAAACCAGAAATGTATAACCCAGAAATGTATAAACAAAAATTGTTTTTAAAAAATTGTGTAAACAAGACAAGTATAAACAAGAAATGTATAAACCAGAAATGTATAAATCAGAAATTTATTAACAAAAATTGTTTTAAAAAAATTATGTAAACAAGAAATGTATAAACCAGAAATGTACAAACCCAAAAATGTACAAACCAGGATTGTATAAACAAGAAAAGAACATCTACAGAAAATGTACGAACCTATACAGTCTCGTCTGTTTGGATGTAATTTAAATCCTGTCTGACAGGAGCAGACGTAACTGCCATCTGTGTTTGTACACGTATACTCACAGCCTCCATTACGCACAGCACATTCATTCACATCTGAAAATGTCCAAAGAAGCAAGTATTATTAACCTCATTAATGTCACATGAATATTAGAAAGTTAGAAAATCTTAACAAAGAAGATGAGAAATATTGACATCTTAGAAGATCTGAACATCAAGGAAGATTAGCTAATAAACAGCATTCTTTCTCGAAAGCTGAAATATTTTGATCATATCAAGCGCCACGACGGATTGGAAAAAAATTATAGCAGAAGGCATGGTACCAGAAAGGAGGGGCAGGGGCCGATCGACACGAAGATGGGCACAGGATATAAGTGACTCCTTGAGTGTGAAAGTGCATAAGGCCGGAGAACTGGTGAGAGACCGAGTTTCTTTCAGGCAGACTGTGATGAAAGGGATTTTCTGCAAAAGACCTGCTACACGATAAGGAAGTAAGTCTTAACTATAAGATCATTGACAATGACAAACTATAAGATCATTGACAATGACAAACTATAAGATCATTGACAATGACAAACTATAAGATCATTGACAATGACAAACTATAAGATCATTGACAATGACAAACTATAAGATCATTGACAATGACAAACTATAAGATCATTGACAATGACAAACTATAAGATCATTGACAATGACAAACTATAAGATCATTGACAATGACAAACTATAAGATCATTGACAATGACAAACTATAAGATCATTGACAATGACAAACTATAAGATCATTGACAATGACAAACATAAAGTGGAATTACATCGAATGTGACATACAGCAGTCTGGTCTAGTACAGATAGAGCAATGCTCTTTTAATCTGGCAGCCTCTGCAGCATGCTCTGTTCTAAACGTACTAGTGTTACCTTTCCTTTGGAATAAACAAGACAGGCAGAATGAGGAATCATGATGCATGGGCAACATATACTCTCTACAATACAACACTATGGGCTCCTCATGCGGGTTTCGGGGTCCCAAAAGAACAGAACGACTGCCACCACAACAAGCATGTCGTAAGAGTCGACTTATTGGGGACTTCCTTTGAAGTCGGAGTGCATCTGCCTGAGTGGCAAGGAATGACCAGCTGCACACAAATAGGCCAGTAAAATGGATGTACACCCTAAACTCAGGCCCAGGCTAAAAACCAAAGTCCAAATGGACGAACAAGCAGGACTTTCTGCAGCAGCTTTCAGCCGGTGAACAGAGAAGAAGAAGGAAAAGGAGAGCTATGGGTGGGTCCTGTTAATAACTTTCTTGCTCCTAAAGGGTCTTAAAAACATCTAGCCTGTTATGCTTCAGTGTCCTCACGTGAGTTCCAAAGCACCATTTTGTGGTCAGAAGGGGGGGGGGGGTAGCAAGCATGTCATAGGAGGCCACTATTTAGGCAATGTGTCCTATGAAGTTTCAGAGCATCTTCTTGAGAGACGAGGAACCAGCCATATCAGTTAATCGGCTGTGTACACAAAATTTCTCAAGTTCTGGAACAAAACTAATGTCCAGAAATGGAGGAACTACCAAACTTTTCATCAGTTTACAGCCTGTGAATGCTAAGAAGAAGTCAAAAAGCAGCGCGGGCAATCTTTGTGAAAGAACAAGCTCAAGGGCATTTGGTTTTTGGACAGGAATAGAAGCGGTCAGAATGTGCTGAGCGGAGGAATTGTCCTTTAACTGAAGTCATCTGTGTCGTGGAAGCAAGTGGATGGCTGCAGTTCGAATCCAATAACAGAGAGCGGATGCCAAATTTAGGTTACAGATGATTCCATGGATGTTCATAAAAATGAGAAGCCTGAACTAAAAGGTGTGCTCAACGAATGATGTTATCTGCCATCTTTCGTGTCAGCCAACTTCATGATGACTAGATAACGAGACTACCAACTGGACTGCATTGTTGCTGGGAATGCAATAAACGTTTGACTGTTTCCACTTGGTATGGTTTATATTATTGAGTTCTAACTCACTTAACAACATGCTATAAGTTAGAAACATGTCCAGGCAAGTCCAGTTAGAATCCAGAAACAGCATCATTCCACTTGTGGTTCATAGTTGCAAATATCACCTGCCTCCATTCTTCTCTGTGATTTTCCTTCTCTTTCCAATTGGTGACAGCAAGTGTTTGTAGGTCTGTCTGTAAATTATCTCTCCACTGTCTTCTTGGTATGCCTCATGGTCTACTCTCAGTCAACTCTTTTGTACATGCAGTTTTTGTCCCTCTGTCATCTGCCATTCTCTCTATATGCCCCAACCTACAATATTTTAGCAATCATGATGCCATAGTGTGAAGTATTTAGTATTTAGAATAGTGTGAGGCTTAAGGTATTTACTATTGCTTTATTTTATGTCACAGGATGCAGTTTGCAAAGTTGCTGGTAACAATTTTTTTACAATTCCATCGCTGGGTGTGTCCATGCCTGTAATAATGTATAGATTTTGTGAGTTGTTGTATGCTACCCCTCACACAAATGCTGTCCTGTTCTACCCCGTTTCTGTCAAACTCCAGACACATTTTTCGATACTAGGGTAAAAGTGGAATGACAAACAGGAAGAAGACCACCATGGATAACAATTCTGTAGTTAGAAAGTTAGCATGGAGATAAAAATTAGAATTTTGAGAGCATGCACCTTCCCTGTGGCTTCATACGGATGTGAGTCGTGGACTATCTCTCAGTCCTTAAGAAAGAGAATAGGGGCATTTGAGCTGAAGTGCTATAGAAAGATTCTCAGAATATCTTGGACAAAGAAGATGAGAAATATTGACATCTTAAAAGATCTGAACATCAAGGAAGATTGGCTAATTAACAGCATCCTTTCTCGAAAGCTGAAATATTTTGGTCATATCAAGCGCCACGACGGATTGGAAAAAATTATAGCAGAAGGCATGGTACCAGGAAGGAGGGGCAGGGGCCGACCAACACGAAGATGGGCACAGGATATAAGTGACTCCTTGAGTGTGAAAGTGCATGAGGTGGGAGAACTGGCGAGAGACCAAGTTTCTTTCAGGTAGACTGTGATGAGAGCGACGTTCTGCAAAGGACCTGCTACATGATGAGTTGGAAAGTATTCCATTCTCACATCTATCCTGATTTTGAATTTTTAAAAAAGCCCTACCTGCACAGTGGGTGACACCAAATAATTGATAGCCTGGTTGACACTGACACATGAATGAGCCAGGTAAGTTGACACAAGTCTGATCACACGTTGAATTTAACAGACATTCATCAATATCTATAACAGAAGATAATTTCAATATAGAATTAATTATGTTTGTGTGATCAAAAGCTTCAATAGAGTATAATTAATATCAATATAGCGTTGTGTGTTCGTATTTTGAAAACAAAAATATTGAATGCTGATTTAAAAATTGAGATCACAGCATTCGGGACATTACCACCAGCACTTGGGACATTACCATCAGCATTTTTTCTTTATCTTGAGCAGGAAGCAGAGAGTTTCAGTTTCAATTCTGATGACGCCAGTGACTGTCTATTTGTATATCGGTCTCACCTCTCCTTGAGTGTTTAGTGTCGGCCAGATCCTCTGGAAACTCCCAGCAGTGCTATTCTTCTCAGACCGTAGATGATCTATTTGTGCCTCATCACTGTTCACTCTCTCCCAAAGGACCCTTACAACATCTAGCTTATTATACATAAATTCACCACCAAGTTGTGCAGAACCAGCTAGCCTATATATGATTTTTGATTTCCCACCACAATGGCATACCTAAAAAACATATCCAAAGTATGCAAACTTCCTGGGAATTCTGAAGAAGCAGTGTTTGCCACTCTGCACAGAGTATGCTTGCCTCCACCATTCTCAACATGCTGTATGAGTCAGTTACAATTACAACATGTGTGTACAGCTGGTTCTCAGGCCAACAGACCGCTGCAGTGAGTGCCTCCACATCCATTCTCAAATTAAACTTAGTGATGTCAGATGCCAGGCTTTGTTGCACTCAGCGATGTCCTTTTGCTTTTGCTAAGAACCCACTTGAACTTGGTCTGCCTCTCAACACAGAGCCATTTGTAAACATAATCAATTCACCTGGGTGGGAATTATCATCAATCATTTATTGAACTTTTGATTCTGCAGCACCCTTCTGCTAGTGATCCTTTCACTCATGGCCCAAAGTGATAAGAACCCTACACAAGCCTGATTGTTGCTCAGACACTCTGACCCACTCCTTTCCTTGCCCAAATTATTCAAGCCTGCACGTGTCTAATTGTGTCTTCTGCTTGCACCATCCAAGACCTTCCTCATTTCAGTCTGTGACCCTTAGCTCTACCCAGGGCTTCATGCAGGAGGTGCTTCTTGTCGGTAGCTACTCTGTGAAATGACTTAGCTTGCAGTACTTCAAACCTATCTGTAAAAATCGGCAGTGCAAGAATATGATGCACACATACAACCTGAGTATTTTTTGTACACCACAAGCTAAGAATAATAATCATTAGAAAGACATTCATCAGAGATTTGCACTTTTGAAGATTAAAAAAAAGGTATTAAAAAGGGAATGCTGAAATCTGATCTGTTGGGCTGAATTGCACAGATCTCGCAGCTTAGCTGTAAATCCCAACTACTCAATGAGGGTGAAAGAAGAAGAAGGGGAAAAAAAGAAGATGGAGGAGCATGAAGAAGAGGAGGAGAATAAGGAGGTGTTGGTAGTTAGATAAGTAGAAGACAAGCATACAGACAGATGTACTTGTAGGTAAATTGAAAGATGGAAATTTATTCATAACATATGAAAAAGAAATTAAGCATATAAAAATTACTCTGCAAAATTATACCCACCTATACATGTTTTATAATCAGTACCAACTTTGTACCCAATCGGGCATATGCATTCAAAACTTCCTTTCACATTTTCACACATGTGAGAGCAGCCGTGGGTGTTCTCCTCACACTCATCAACATCTGCCAGGAAATTGATAAAACTGCAGTCAGAATAGTAAAAAGATGATAGAAGATGCAACTGTATGTCATTGTAAAGGAGAAATGTTAAAAAGCATTCAAAAAGTTGAGCCCTCAAACTTTTAACCAATAACTAAAAAAAAAAATACTATATGGTTCAAAAACAAACATTTGCAAGTACTTTTCATGTACTTAGGATTTTACTATTTACAATCGCATAGGTGTTTTTTTTTTTTAAAGCGGCAAATTTTTTTTATCTTTGTCAGACTTACCCTAAAAAAAAACAGAATATACAGTAACTGAATTTACTGTTTTTTTTTTACAAGGATTACCTTTGAAATCTGTTTGATGTAAACTGTTGATATAGAAAAGTAGACTGCCAAAAAGTGCCAATTACTGCCTTTGTGATACCCCTTTGAGGTGTAGGAAGGGGGTTCTTTGAGCCTGAGGATTTACGGCCGCATGGCTAGTGTTGTCATCACAGCTTTACAGAAAATTCGAACCCGGGTCTCCTGTATGAGATCCCAGTATTCTAACCAGTCGGCCAGCCACTCCTCATATACAAAAGTGATGACTAATAATCCAGCTGGTATAGCTTCACCAATCTATGTCAAAGGCCACAAATTAGAACAAGTCAATTATTTCAAATATTTAGGATCCATTTTAAGTGACCTGGGGTCAAGACCAGAAATCGTGTCTAGGATTTCCCAGACAACACAGTTGTTGCCAAGCAGCAAACATTCTAGAGATTTAAAAACATGTCATGCAAAACTAAGATTTGATTGCTCAGAGCACTAGCTTTACAAATGGCTGTAAAACATGGACCTTAACACCTGAACTCGAAAGGAAGATATAAGCAAGAAATGCGATGCTTCAGAAAAATTCTTAGTATATCATACAGAGACCACATTACAAGCGAAGAGTTCGCCATAAAATTATACTGCACATTGGCAACTATGAACCTTGTTTAACTACAGTAAAAATGGAAAATATGCAATGGTATGGACACGTAATAAGATCTAATGACCTCTCAAAAACAAAACTGTTTAAAAATGTCATCATTACATGACATATTTTGCTAACTTTGATCCAGTTACGGAAGCTATGTATTTTATAATGGTTAGTTTAGTAAAAAACTGTTTATACAGGTTGTTATTTTCAAAACCCTGTGCAATAGATTGTTATTGTAATGTATTTAATATATATCATACATGCAAATATCGTACATGTAGATAATTTCATTTCTGGGTGAATAATGTGTTCACATTTTTTGTTTTTTTGCTAACTCTTGTCTGTCTCTTGTTTAAATTCCTAACAAGAAAATATTGTTTTGAATTTATTCTTTTTCTTGAATTTGCTTTCTACAGTTAATGAGTTTTACCTATCCAGAGTATTCTACTTGTCTGGTACAAGAAAGTTAGCCATCTTTCGTTGAAACAGCCCCAAAAGTTAGCCATCTTTCGTTGAAGCCCCAAAAGTTAGCCATCTTCAGTAGAAACAGCCCCAAAAGTTAGCCATCTTCGGTAGAAACAACCCCAAAAGTTAGCCATCTTTGGTAGAAACAGCCCAAATATGAGATGATAAGCAATTTTGTTTTAGGAGTCAAGAATAAAACAAAAGAGAACCCCCCCCCCCCCCCACCCCACCTTTTCTGCACATCCAAAAAACTAAACAAAACAGTAAGAACAAAAGCACTGTAAAAAGAAGAATTACAAAATAAGCAAGGAACAAAGTTGAAGAAGAGGAAAAGAAAGCCTTATTTAAGTTGGACTGAAAGAATGTACCTATACATGACCGACCATCCCGAAACAGCATGTAGCCAGTTGGACATGAACATGTTGGTCCCAGGTTTGAATCCACACATTTCTTCTCACAGCCACCATTATTTACAGAACAGGTTCCTGTAGGAAGCAAAACAATTAAATCACACAACAAATCACATGAAAAAAAAAATCGCAAAACAAACAAACAAACAAACAAACAAACAAACAAACAAGCAAGCAAGCAAGCATGCACGCACGCACGCACACACACACACACACAAAGAACATGAAACAATAACATAAACAAATTACATGAAAGAAACACACACACACCCAAATGGTATGAACAAATCACACGCCCTAAGCCTCTGAAATAATCACACACACAGACACAAAAATTACATGAAACAATCAAAAACACAAATCACATAAAAGAATTGCAAAACAAATCACATGAAATAATCCTACAACAAATCACATGAAAGAATCACAATACCAATCACATTACAAAAATTAAACGATAAATAACATGAAAGAATCTCACAACAGATGCCATGAAAGAATCTCACAACAAATCACATGAAAGAACCAGTCAACAAATTACCTGAAACAATCACATACACAAATCACATGAAACAATCACACCAACAAATCACATGAAACAATCTCTCTCTCCCTCTCTCTCTCTCTCTCTCCCTCCCACTCTCTCCCTCCCTCCCTAACCTCTCTCTCTCCCTCCCTCCCACTCCCACTCTCTCTCTCTCCCTCCCTCCTACCCACCCACCCACCCACCTCTCTCTCCCTCCCTCCCACCCACCCACCTCTCTCTCTCCCTCCCTCCCTCCCACCCACCTCTCTCTCCTCTCCCTTCTCTCTCCCTCCCTTCCACCCACCCACCCACCTCTCCCTTCTCCCTCCCACCCACCCATAAAAGTAAATAAAGTGGTAACTTTCAACAAAAGCTACAATTCCTAGATGTACTAGTTTCATATCTTCTTGCCTTCCTTTTTTTTCTTTTCTTTTCCTGAATTTTGTCTTTATACTTGCTTGCATTTATACTTGATTTAAACTCCTGTTGTTAGCAGCAGCATCACAGAGTAAGGTACTCACTTACCCTGGCAATCTAACGTTAAATGTTGAGTGTTGAATTAAGAATCGACATCACATCACTTGGGAAACTCACACATGCACTCTTTCCCTATCTTCAGCAGCAAGCAAAGAGTTCTCCTTCCGATGACACCAGTAGCTGTCTGACTGAATATCCATCTGGCCTTTCCCTTGAGTGTCATGTAGATCCCCTGGTAACTGCCCACAGCGCCATTCTTCTTAAACCATAGATCATCTGTCTGTGCCTCTGCACAGTTCACTGTCTCCCAAAATACCCTTACAACATATAGCTTGTCATACATCAATTCCCCACCAAGTGGGGGAGAACCAACCAGCCTATCTCAGTGTTGATTTACCACAACATGCTGGCATAACCTGGAACAAATATCCAAAAGACGCTAACTACCCAGGACCTCTGAAGCGATGCTTGCCACTCTGCATGGAGCAAGCCTGCCCACACCTTACTCAACATACTCTGTGAGTCAGTTACAATTACGACATGTGTGTACAGTTGATTCTTTGTGCGTTTCCCATCCTGTTTGGGAGGCATTTATCAAGGGAATCAATCAGGTGCCATCTCCACAATGAAGGTTAGATACAATACATTCTCTGCCTCTTGTCTTTTTAGTACACTCTCTCAGACTTTTGTACACTCTCTCAGACTTGTGTATACTCTCTTAGACTTCTTTTGTATACTCTCTCAGACTTTTGTACATTCTCTCAGACTTTTGTACAATCTCTCAGACTTTTTACACTCTCAGACTTTTGTACACTCTCTTATACTTCTTTTTTATACTCTCTCAGACTTTTGTACATTCTCTCAGACTTTTGTACAATCTCTCAGACTTTTTACACTCTCAGACTTTTGTACACTCTCTTATACTTCTTTTTTATACTCTCTAAGACTTTTGCACACTCTCTCAAACTTTTTTTTACACTTTCTTAGGCTTCTTTTGTATACTCTCTTAAACTTTTGTACTCTCTCCCACACTTGTGTACACTCTCTCAGACTTGTGTACACTCTCTGAGACTTCTTTTGTACACTCTCTCAGACTTTTGTATACTCTCTCAGACTTCTTTTGTACACCCCTTCAGACTTGTGTACACTCACTCAGACTTTTGTATACTCTCTCACACTTTTGTATACTCTATCAGACTTCTTTTGTACACTCTCTCAGACTTTTGTACACTCTCTCAGACTTTTGTACACTGAAAGATGAATAGGTGCGAAATATGACTGTCATAACAAGACAACTGAATCTCACCCATGCATGTTTTGTTATCTGGTTTCAGGATGTATTTATCAGCACAGGAACACACCGGCCCATCTACTGTCATGTTACAAACATGGTGACAACCGCCATTTCCCAACTCACAACTTCCTGTTTATGAAAAGATCAAGTTAAGTCGCCAGGTAGGAACATGGTAATGTTAAAAATGAAGCAGACATCTTTGTTCTTCTTCTTTTTCTCTTCTTCTTCACTTCCTCTTTTATGACTTTGGGTGTCAAGGGAGATATAAGGTTCTGCTTTCTTGCTCTTCTGACTGCTTTGACCGTAGACACATTGTGCTGTCGTAGAGTTTATCTGATGTTGCCTTTCCATCTTGTTCTTGGTCAATCTCATGCTGTAGGTCTTTTTTCTCTTTTGGTGTATGCCTTGTATGGTATGGCGTCACAAGACATTCGCTCTGAGTGGGCAAACCATTTGATATGTTTTCTATGTATCTAATTTAGTTCTGTGTGCACTTTTTCACTTACAGTCTCATTCCTGATTTCATCTTTTCTAGTCACTTCTGCTGCCTTTCTAAGACATCTCATTCCTGATTTAATCTCTTCTAGTCAATTCTGCCGCCCTTTTAAGACAGCTCATTCCTGATTTCATCTTTTCTTGTCACTTCTGCTGCCCTTTTAAGACATCTGATTCCCATCATTAGTAACCTTCTTTTCTGCTTTGTTGTGAGTGACCATGTCCGGCACTGGTAACACAGAGCTGGAACAAATATGCTCTGCATGAGATGTTTCACTGTGCTGATTGGGGTTGCCTTGAGTTGTAAAAGGGGAGCTAGCTGTCCCAATACTTGGCTTGCTTCCCTGCATCTGCTGTCAGTCTCTTCATCAAATTTCCCACCTTCAGTGAATTTTGGTCCCGGATTTGTAAACTCATTGTCTGTTTTATGCCTTTGCATTCTACTACTACACTTAGATTCGTCATCTTTCTTCTTGCTGACCTTACTTCTATCTTTGTTGACTCAGCAAATGAGGTGATATGGGTATTGGTCAGATATTACAGTAGTCAACAGTACGTGTTCTCTGTTAATGGTGAAGACCCGAAAAAGCTTTGGATAGAGCAGCGGACTGACAAGATCTTCTGTTTCTGCAAACTACGGCGGAAATTTCTGGTTAGTCATCAATTTCTGGTCTTTAGTTTTGTTCCAGAACATGAATTTTGCATGCAAATCCATTTAACAGATCTGGCTTATTTGTACTGCATACAAATAAACCAGATCTGTGAATTGGATATGCATGCAAAATTCACTGAAACATGAGATGACTGATTTTCTTTCAGGAAGAGTTAAAAATAACAACAGCCTACAGTATAAATAGTTCAAGAAAATCACTTATGAACAAGAGTTTAAATGTAAGAGTTTTAAAAGAGAAAATTAAATGAAAGAAAATAAAAGAGCTTAAATAAACAATTTAAATGGAGAGAATTGAAAACAATACAGAATTGTAAAGAAAATTTAAAAAAGCATTTAAAAGATGGTGCTTGTAACATTGTCAGGCCCAGAAAGAGAGTGACTTCCCTTGCCATTTCTGCCTGGTCATGATCATAGGTCCTGTCATATTTTGCTGGGGGTGTCACACTTAGTAACCAGCCAGCAACACAAGGTATTGTACACCTAGCATGCTTGTTCCATATTCCACTATGTGAGCACCTTTATCTGTCCCAAAACACGTAGATCAGGCCCTAACCCAAACACCCCTATGCCACTGCGACAGTCCCAGGGTATGTCCCACAGAAGAGTGCAAACTACGTCCTACGACTGCATGCAGCTGATCACAACAGCACATGAAATACGTTGTGTCGCTGGACCCTCACTAAGCGTGACACCCCCACAGCATAGAACAGGACCTGCGATATGACAGGCATAAATGACAAGGAAAGTCACTCTCTTTCTGGGCCCGACTTCGTTACTTGACCCTAAAAGATAATCTAAAAGAACAATTTAAATGAAATAAATGAGAAGAGTTAAAGAGTTTAAAATAACAACAGGTGGCAATATTAACTCTATCAGAGGAGAGCTAAAATAGTTAACAAATTAAAAGCAATGTGTTCCTTGGTACCAAAGAGTTTAAAGTTCAAGAGAAACACTCACGCAGACATGTCCGCCCATCGGAATGTAAAGTATAACCAGTTCTACAGTAACAAACCACCCGGTTGCCAGTGGGTGCAGGCCGACACCCATGGTCACAACCAATCTTTGAACGACACCATTCACCTGCAGCAGAGTGGAGTGGTATACAGTTAGTGGTGAATATGAGCCAGACATGGTTAGAGTGGTGTATTCTAGTGGGACATGGTTAGAGTGGTGTATTCTAGTGGGACATGGTTAGAGTGGT